AGGATATTTCCAACTTTTGGGGGATTTCTTGGTACATAAATCCATCCCTAATCAGGCAGGATACACATATGTATTTTTAAAGATCCGTGTATAAGGTTTTTTTTTTGTAATATGCATTTTCCGTGAACTTTTTGAGGAGCCCTGGCAGGTAGCCTGTGTCTCTCCCACATGTGTTGGAGAGCTCGACTGAGTGATTGAGTCCTAGGGATTGGTGCACGTCATTGTGGAGGCGACACTGAGATCTGGAAGAACTGAGGTTGCTGCTCCCACTGACAGTGATGGGCGTGGGGACAGGGCGCAGCAACGTCCCACCTCTGGAACTGTCAGGTCGGGAGAGCGACTCCTGCCTTTCTTTCTCAGCCTTGTCCTTTGTGGCTGACGTGCATGTTCAAGGGGAGGGCAGTTGCTATACTCAGTGCAGAGGCCTTCTGCGAGCTCCTTCACGTCACAATGCAGGGAAACACTTGAGCAGATACTTGGGCACCCCCGGGCCCAGCCAGGGAGACACAGGCAGGTAACCTGGGACACTTCTGTATTTGATTGTCTTAAAGACTTATTTATTTATAATTAAACTATTTATTATCCATTATTAATGATTAAATTATAAATTAATTATGAATGGTTAAGTCATTTATTTATAATGTGAGTTATGGGAAATTTATAATCAAATTTATTAATCAGATTATGTGTAATTTATTTATTTATTTATTTATTTATAATATGAGTTATGGAGAATGAGAGAGAGGGAGAAAGATATCTTCCATCCACTGATTCCCTGCCACACTGGCCAGAGCTGACCCCAGCTGAAGCCAGGCGACAGGAGCTTCTTTGGGTCTCCTGTGTGGGTGCAGGAATCCATGTACCTGAACCATGTTTTACTGCCTTTCCTGGGCCATTACCAGGGAGCTGTATTGGAAGTGGAGCAGCCAGACATAAACCAGTACGCGTAGGGGATGCCAGAATTGCAAGGAGCAGTCTTACTAAGCCTCAGGGCCCTGAGGCCAGCTCCAATTCTGTTTTTTTTTTTTTTTTCTTTTAGACTTTTTTTTTAAAAGATTTATTTTATTTTTACTGGACTGGCATATTTACTGAGACAAGGAAAGACAGGAAAGATCTTCTGCCTGCTGCTGGTTTACTTCCCAAATAGCTACAACGACTGGAACTGAGTCAATTTCCAAAGCCAAGAGCCAGGAGTCCCCTCTGGGTCTCCCATATGTGTACAAGGCTCCAAGGCTTAGTACCAGCTTTGATTGATTTCTCAGGCCACAAGCAGGTAGCTAGATGGAAAGTGGACAGCCGTGACACGAACTGGCTCCCATAAGGGATGCTGGTGCTTGCAGGTGAAGGATTAGCCAATTGAGCCATCTCACCGACACCTCCTGTTCTATTTTTAAGAAATGCTGTTGTGCTGGATGTTGCTGTGCTCTGCAGCGTTAGAAGTGATCACCTCTTATCTCTGCCTGCACTTGCCATCTCTCCTGCCTGGCTGGCTGATTAGCTACCGTTCCTGCAGACGGCTCGGCCTTCTGGTCTGCCTGAGAGGTGACTCTTCTCTCCAGGATCCTGGAGGCAGAGATGGTTCTGAGCTCAAGCTCACAATCGTGTTTGCAGCCCAGTTGGAGGAGCCAACTCACACCCCTGGCGGGCTCTCCTGGGGCATGGTGAGATACAGGTGCAGCTGGCAGAAACCACGACTGTTCTCTGACCAGGTGGTGACTCCGAGAGCAGGCAGTGTCCTGCTCCTGGGCTTGATACTCCTGATTTTTTGCCTGGCCCTCAATGTGACCCTAAATCAAATCCTCTTCTTTTGAGCTTCGTTTGACTTCTCCATGCAGTGGGAGCTTGCACCCAGTGGTGGGGGCCCGGGATGTCTTCTAAATAAAGGAGCCAGGTTGGTAGGAAAACAATGGCTAGTAGCAGGAATGGTTGGATTCCCAGCACAGAATTGATCATTGTGTGACCATTGTGTATTTCTGAGCTGTGCTTAAATAAAAGCTTATAGATAAAGGATAAACTCCCCTTTGCTGCCTGCTCCCCGGTTCCATCTACCCCTATGGCCCAGGATGCCTCCATTTGAGTTTGGTGCATGCTTCTACTTTTATAAAAGCATGTCTTCATGCATTCTTTAAAAAAATTATTTTATTTTTATTGCAAAGTCAGATATACAGAGAGGAAGATCTTCCATCTGATGATTCACTCCCCAAGTGATCGCAGAGGCCAATGTTGAAGCAATAAGCCAGGAGCCAAAAACTTGCTCCAGGTTTCCTACACAGGTGCAAGATGCCAAGGCTTTGGGCCATCCTCGGCTCCTTTCCCAGGCCACAAACAGGGAGCTGGATGGGAAATGGGGCTGCCAGGATTAGAACTGGCGCCCCTATGTGATCCTGGCACATTCAAGGCGATGACTTTAGCTGCTAGGCCACTGTACTGGGACCTCTTCATGCACTTTTTTTTTTAAGATTTATTTTATTTTTGTTGGAAAGTCAGATATACAGAGAGGAGGAGAGATAGAGAGGAAGATCTTCCGTCTGATGGTTCACTCCGTAAGTGACCACAACAGCCGGTGCTGTGCCGATCCAAAGCCAGGGTCCAGGAACTTCTTCCGGGTATTCCACATGGGTGCAGAGTCCCAAGGCTTTGGGCTGTCCTTGACTGCTTTCCCCGGCCACAAGCAGGGAGCTGAATGGAAAGAGGAGCTGTCTGGATTAGAACCAGCACAGTGTGTTCAAAGCGAGGACTTAGCTGCTAGGCCACGCTGCCGTGCCCTTCATGCACTCTTTTTTTTTTTTTTTTTTTTATTGGAAAGGCAGATATACAGAGAGGAGAGACAGAGAGGAAGATCTTCCGTCCGATGATTCACTCCCCAAGTGAGCGCAACGGCCGATGCTATGCTGATCCGAAGCCAGGAGACTCTTCTGGGTCTCCCACGCGGGTGCAGGGTCCCAAAGCTTTGGGCCGTCCTTGACTGCTTTCCCGGGCCACAGGCAGGGAGCTGGAAGGGAAGCAGGGCTGCCGGGATAGAACCGGCGCCCATATGGGAACCCTGGGCGTGCAAGGCGAGGACCTTTAACCACTTGCGCCACCACGCTGGGCCTCTTCATGCACTCTTAAATCTGATATTCCACACTGCTGTGAGGAAGGCAGGCTCAGTGATGGCCCTATCCTAAGGATAGGTCAGTGCCAGAACGTCTTTTGTGCCTCTCAGAGGTTCCCCTGTGCATGTCTGAGAAGGAAGTCAGGTGACCCAAGAGAATGCTTTGCCAGGTTTGGGAAGAGCCCACCAGGATCATAACCTCATGTGCACAGCTGCCATGAGCGCCCCCCTGCTGGAGATGCAAAGTCCTGACTCATAGCGGGGAGCAGGACAGGGGGACAGAGCTGCTGTCCTGTGACTGCATTATCAGAGGTGAGAGGGAAGTAATTGAGATGCTGGATGCCAGTCCTGTCTCTTCTCTCCCCCACATGATTGGTGCCTGGTGTTTTTGGGGGTGGCAGCTGGCTGCAGCTTTATCTTGTTTTCAGGCTGGGTTTACTGCTCTCTTATCAGCCCTGAGTGCTTAAGAAGTTGATTAGAGGATACAGCCCTTGCTCCTCCCTTGTGGAAAGCCTGACTAGGGCTGGGAGGTAGCCTCAGGACTCAGACCTTGCAGCAGGTGTCCCCGGACTGAACTGAACTGTCTGTCTTCCTAGCGCCCCCAGGTGATGATGTGAGGAGGTGCCTGTGCCACAGAGCAGAGCTTCCCCAATGGCCTTAGTATGCTGATGGGACAGAGTGCAGGGAGCTCCCTGGCTCTTCCCACACAGCAAGGACGGAGCCAAAGAAGTCATGCAGTCCCCAAAGCTGTCAGTGTCTTGGACTTGGATTTCCCAGTGTCTCCAGCTGTGAGAGAGGACCTGTGGTTTGTGAGCACATGTTCACGGTGCTTTGTCACTAAGACTCCCTGTAACTATGAATGCCGCGAGTGTGTGCAGTGCTGTTTGGGACATGTGACGTTCAGTAGCAGCATTGCTGAAGCAACACACTCCTTTGTGGAATTGGCTTCTTAGTAAGGATTTTGAACCACACCAGTGAGCAGGGACAGCAATGGCTACTCAGCAGGCAGCTCGCTTCCAGTCATCATCCTGCCCCACAGTCCCGTTCTTGGTACATGGCCATGTTGTCTGGCTGAGAGTCCTTTGCCCACCTGCTCTCCTCCTGGGCCCCAGTGTCTGCTCTGTGGGACTCTGACTGCCGTCATCATCACAGCCGGGAATTGTGGGAGCTCTTGGAGGTGAGAAGTACTGTCCAGTAGGCATCCTTGTGCCTGACCTGGGCTGGAGGTCAGCAAAGATGGCCACATCCGTTCTTATACAGGCCTTGCCCTGCTGGCTGCCACAAGCAGTTTTCCCAGTGACAGAGGATCACAGTATTGTCCACATGTCTGCCTCTTAACTTTCTGCACCTTTAGGGACATGTAGTCACCACTCTCTGAAACAGACAATGGAAAACCTAAGGATAGTCAGCTGATGAGTTTTAAATAAAATCTTAGGATATAGCTACACTGTTTCATCTTAGTTGTTGGTATGCCTGCTTATAAGCTAAACTGTATGAGGGATATATATACATCCAGGAAAAGACAGGGTAGATATAGGGTTTGGTGTGATCCACAGTTTCAGGCAGCCACTGTGTGGATCTTGGAATGGATTCCCTGGGATGCATTATTTCTGCATTTTAGAGTGGCATCAGGCTATGGCTGCGTGCGGAGCAGCTGGGCTGTTTGCTGATGTCAGCCCACTGTGGAATTTGCTGTGTGGGGACCACATGCTCAGACCCATGCTCTGTGGAGCTCATGTCGGAGGGCCCTCCTCTGCCTCATGATTCTTCTCAGGTGTAAAGTTGGAGTGAGGTTGCTTTCTTACCTGGCTTTCACACATGGGTCTGGGACAGAGCCCTGGGTGGGGAGCCGGACATGGACCCAGCTAGACTTGCTAGAGACTGAGCTCTGGTCTTCTTGCTGCAGGTCATCCACTCGGCCGGAGGTGGCTAGCATAGAGCCGCTGGGCTCCGACGAGCACCAGTGCTCCCGGAAGGCAGTGGTGCAGGCCCGCCTGACCCAGCCTGCCCGCCTGACCAGCATCATCTTCGCAGAGGACGTCAGTAAGGGCTTGGTGTCAGTTGTTGTGTGGTGTTTGCCTTTGGGCAGCCTGGCTTTCTGCATTTTCGAATTGTTATTTGTTCCCCTAAAACTCTTAATACATACAAGGTCAAAAAGAGGAAAGCTTTCCTAGTCAAGGCAGCCACCCTTTCCCTTCTCCATATTCAGTTTGCTGTATCTTGGTTATAAAAGAATTTGAAAACCATGTGATTTCCTATCATGTGGCTTCCTCACCTACCATACACGATGTTTTCCAATCTACTGTGGAGTTATTTTTAATGTTTGACAACATTTCTCACAGGAGATTGTCCTAAAAGCATTCCCGTATCTTAGGGAGTTAGTCCATCTTTGCATGCTTATATCTGGGTTATATCTCAAATAGTTTGTGAAGAGGATTAAGTTAAGGTGTTGCTTGGGACGCTGGCATTCTGTATCGGAGTGCCTGAGTTTGAGTCCTGGCTCTGCCTCCAGTCCAGTTTCTTGCTTATGTGCACCCTGGAGATGGCAGGTGAAAGCCTAGGTGCTTGGATTTCTGACACCATGTGGAAGACCCGCATGGAGTTCTGGTCCCTTGGCTTGGCTGCATCCAGCCCTTCCTAACTGTGCTGGGGAGTGCACCAGTGGGTTTCAGAAGACCTCTGAGTCTCTCCACCATTCAGATATGATGAATATTAAAATTTTAAAATATAGTGCATATTTTTATACAGAGAATAATTTGAGGTTCTTCCGGATCCCAGCAGATGAGTGTGTTTAAGGCTTTTGATCCACGGAGGCCGTGCAGGATTAACAGGGCCCAATATTTTCATGTGATGGCTATAGAAGGATGAGAGCAGTTTTTGTATCACTTGCTGCCATCCTTACACTTGCAAGTTCTGCAGGAAATGTCATCTATGCCCTTTATTTCTGCAGTAGGCCTAAAAAGTCTGTGTGTCCACACACCCCATCCTGTAGACAGCTGAGCGTCTTCTGTGATGTCACAGCAATGTCACTTGTGCTCTCAGCTCAGGGACAAGGCTCAACTAACTGACTGTCCCCCTTATCGCTGGGCTTAATGGTTGCACCATTAACAAACTAGAGTTTTCCTGGGGGTAGCTTTATTTGTTTTGTTCTGTTTTGTTTTGTTCTACTTTCCCTCCTTCCTTTCAATACTGGAGCTCAAGTTGCAAAAGTAGCAGATGGACCAGGAAAATGTCCCTAAGACCCTCCCTTCCCAGACTTGCCCCTGCTAACTCCCAAAAGGGCTCTTCCAGGCAGTGGTTTGGTTTGTCCAGGGGAAATTGAATTCTTTCCGCTGGTGTTTTGTCGATTGCTCTGGTCCTCACCACAGGGTAAGACCAGCTGCCTGGCTGCAGGGTCCTCTAGGTGGGTGTGGGGCAGGCGCTGTCCACAGTGCTGACCACCCCTTACCGTCACTGCAGCCACGGGGCAGGTGCTGCGCTGCGATGCCATCGTGGATCTCATCCATGGCATTCAGATCGTCTCTACTACCCGCGAGCTCTACCTCGAAGACTCCCCTCTGGAGCTGAAGATTCAGGCCCTGGATTCAGAAGGTGAGTGCCTGCCGGGGCTTTCCCAGTAACTGTGATTTCTCTGTCAGGGAGGAGCTGAAGAGTCAGAACTGTTCCTGTGATGGGCCCGACTGCTTTGCCAGGCCACAAGCATGCAGCAGAGTGTGATGCAGCTAGGACAAAAACTGGCGCTCATATGGGATCCTGGCAGCTGTAGGGTGGGGATTTAACCACTAGGCTATCATGCTGGTCACAGCAATTTGTCATTTTAAAACCCCACCAGTCATGAATACATGTTCCAGTGGATTATTCTGAGTGTTCTCTAACACATGCTGCTGCCCATCTGGGTTTTTTTTTGGAGGGGTTAGTTAGACCTTTGGTTCCTAGATTGGGGTCATTTCTGAGTCAGTCAGGTAAGCACATAGCCTATTCTTTCTGAGATGGAGGCCTGGGCACCTGTTTACAGGGGGTGGCACTGAGGGTAGATCCTGCAAGTGACAGATGCTCCCGACTGCCCTGCCGGTGGTCACATTCCCCCCCACCCCCTGCTGAATCTGCTCCTCCAGGAAACACCTTCAGCACCCTGGCAGGGCTGGTCTTTGACTGGACGATCGTGAAGGACACAGAGGCAAATGGGTTCTCGGACTCTCACAACGCACTGCGGTAAGAGGGGCAGCCGGGAGAGGGAAGTTCGTGGGTGCATTCACAGGGCTGACAGCAAGGATGTCTGCCAGCGTTCCAGTGACTTTGGGGCAGGTCTCATCTCTTTGGGTTGCATGGGCACCTGTAGTTTGTCTCTTGGGCAGTAGGCAGAGATATCATCTCTGCAGATGGCCACAAATCATGAGTGGTCTTGGGGCATAGGGGTCATGTGTGTGGCCCCTGAAAGCAGCACTTCCAGCAGCAAGTCACAGGAGGGCTACAGGAACAGCTATTGCCCAGGCTGTGTGGAAAGTTTAGTTGTGGGCATCCCTGTGCTTAGGAGCTGGGCAGGTGGTGGCTGCCATAGGCTGTCTGGGCAGAGTGGAGGTTTGTTGACACTGTGGTATGCTCCTTTGGCTGGTGCACCTGAAGAACTGTTAACCCCATTGTCCTGTGACTTATCATGCCTTGTTAAATAGCTTTTAAGAAATATTTTACTTACTTTCACTTCTTTGAAAGAAAATATCAGAAGGAAGGATAGAGATGATGGGTGCTTGCATCAACTGGGGCTGCCCCAGAGTTTAATCCACGCATACACGTGGGTGGCAGGGACCCAAGTGCTTAAGCCATGAGCACTGCCCCTAGGATGTTCATCGGTAGGGAGCAGGGCTCGAAGCAGAGCTGAGACTGGAGTCCAGGCCCTGTGAAATGGATGTACCTGTCCCCAGCCGCATGTTCACAGGTGGACCACACATCCACCCCCATTAAATAGCTTTTTAAGGAGTGTGGTTCCTTTCAGGGCAAGACAGAAAGTGTTTTTTAAATTCTATAACATTTTGAGCCTCCCAAAAGAGTTCTAGGTCATGCCTGGCCACAGCACAAGGAGTGTTCAGTAGGCTGACCTCAGCCAAGGGTTTCTGTTGTATTCTTTGTGACACAGCACCTGGCACTGAGGCTGTGTTGAGGACTCAGCTTGGAATCTTAGCCTGGTCTTGCCCTGGGTCAGTCTGGAGGTCTTTGATTGACATCACAGTGACAGTGTGGTCTCTGGGTAGCGTCCCTCCCTTTGGTTTATCTGCTGTCCCCTCGTGACTGGACTCATCGTTGTGTCCGGCAGAAGTGTCACTGAAATGACAGTGTTTGTTCTCCTGCCTCATACAACAGTTCCACTTGGCCTGCTGCTGAGGCTGGTCTCTGGTTATTTAGATGGGATGATGTGTGCTGGGGCCTTACTACTGAAGCTGTTTTTTCACCTTGTTATAGTTAGGAGTGCTTGAGCTGGGAATCTAGTTTTTTCATTTGCACCTTCCCAAGTCTTGGTGTGGCTGGAGGAGACTCTGGGGGCACAGCTGGGCCTCGTGCACTGCTGCTTACACTCATAGCTGGGTCCAGGACAGTCATCCCCCATGGCTTGATGCTGTGTGAGCTGAACTGCCCTGCTGGGCTCAGAGCTCTCTGAGGGCTAAGATTGTCATCTTCTACCTAACTCCTGGACCAGCTCTGGAGTTGCTGTTTTTGTAAAACCAGGAGTAGACCCAGATTCTAGTCCTAGCCTTGATGCTTCCTGCCTGGGGACTTGCTTAAGTAACCTGATGCATCCAAGCTTCCTTCCCCACCCCCGGCCCACCCATGAAGCAGGAAGAGAAGTAAGTGCTGTGCTCCCCTCTGAGGGGCCTTGGGCAAGCTTTCAGGTGTACACTCAGGACCCCTCTCTGAGTCTGGTGCACACTGGATGTTCCAGGGATGCTAGCTCCTGGTTGTGACGAGCAGCCCCCTCCGGCTTCCTGGCAACTCGGTACGTGAGCTGAATGCTGGCTGCAGTCCTAGATGCCACGGCATGTTATAACTGGATTGTCCTGGATCTTTATTAAAGACAGCATATGATGCCTGCTACAACTGGGCAAGGAAATAAATCACAGAATAGCTCAGTGTCCCGTGATCCTGTAGAGAAGGGAAGTGTGTCCAACAGATTGCTTTCATGTGGGCTTGTTTGTGAATCCCAAGGGGAGAGACTGGGAAGGGTCCTTCTCATTATAGTGTACACAGGCCAGTGTCCACTGCTTCCCTCAGGGCACTGATGGGAAGTATTGATGCTGTTTTGCCTGGTCTGGGATCTGGACCTGCTGCCCAACCTCTGCGGGCCTACTTTTCCATTTGGACTAAGATAGTGGCCTTCTAATCCATCATATAGCATCATTTTCAGTAAGTGCAAATTCCGAGGCTTTGTTGTAGATGAAGCGTGCAATGGGGTGGAATTTGCATTTGCAAAGGCACTGGTGATTCTGGCATAGGATGTTATAGTCACCCGTGCCCAGTTGGATGGCTGGCAAATGTTTTGTTGTGGGTTCAGGTCTGACAAGCACTTTAGACCATTCGTTCCTTTTCCAGAATCCTGACGTTCTTGGAGTCCACATACATTCCCCCTTCTTACATCTCGGAGATGGAGAAGGCAGCCAAGCAGGGCGACACCATCTTGGTGGCTGGGATGAAGACGGGGAGCTCCAAGCTTAAGGCTCGTATCCAGGAGGCCGTGTACAAGGTGGGCCCCGGGTGGAATCTGGTGGGCCTGCTGCTCTCGCCTGTGGGTATGGTGTGTCCTGGGGAGGCTTTCAGACATCTGCATGGGTTTGCTCTGTTTGTGCCATGACTTAGGGAGAGGAGATTGTGACTTTGGAGAACATTGTTTCTGGAGTCATTGAACATTTGCTCGCTCCCAGTTTTGAGGGGACTGTAGGATTCTTGGGGACTGGCTGTGTCTGCCAAGTCCCCCTTGTCATGAGAAGAAGCTGCATCCAAGCACCTGAAACTCAGAGCACCTGGTAGCTCTCAGGTATCCTTTCTGCAGCTGTGCTGGAATGTACTTGCCTTGGGGCCTGGGTCACAATAGATGATTGGGGTGGTTCCCCCCAACCCCAACCGCCCCCTACTTTCATGTCAAAGGTAGCACTTAAGTGCAGAAGCCTTTTTTTTTTTTAATTTTTAAAAATATTTATTTATTTTTATTGGAAAGGAGAATCCTTTAAGATATTACCACCAGCTCTAAAAAAGAAACGAAGTACAGATGCCTGCAGAGGCTATGGAAGAGGCTGGGCTGATTTTGTAGAGGGATACAGAGCTGCCCAGTAACCCATTGCCTCCACAGTGACAGCGTTTGTATTTTCTGTGAACAGAAACCATTGTCTCAGCCTTGGTTTTCAGCAGTTCATGGAGCTTCCAAGTGGCCCAAGGACAATGAAAGATATAGGCCCCTGATGACTCCAGAAACTTGGAGGGGCTTGCTAAATGGAACACCCAGTGGTCTTTTTCCTGCTGCAGAGACCATGGATAGGGGAAGGGGCCAAAGGTCATTGCCCATCGTACTTCTCCAGTTCAGGAGGGCTGGAGCCCCACATGGACTTGTTTTTTTTTTTTTTTTTTTTGTAGGGAGAGAACTTGAGTTTCCAGTGGGCCTAGCATCCAATGCAATCATGCCTGGTTCCACCCTCTCCTCTAGGCTTGGTTGTGATGGTCTGAACTGGAGATACTGCACACAGGATGTTGTGGGGTACTTATGTGCTTTGAGTAATGACCATTACATCTGCCATACACCCAGACAGGGGCCTGAAAGGATAGGTGTGTTAGTGACATCTTCTTGCCTCACCTTTAGCTTCCCTGTGCCTGTGTGAACACACTGAAAGTTTAAAATTTCCTTGCCATACCCCTTCCTGCTCTGATCCCTGCTCACCATTTCTGCCTTCTTTTTGTATCAAGAATGTGCACCCTGCTGAAGTCAGGCTGCTGATTCTGGAGAACATCCTTCTGAACCCAGCTTATGACGTCTACCTGATGGTTGGGACCTCCATACGCTATAGAGTGCAGAAGATCAGGCAAGGAAAGATTACAGGTGTGTCCCTGGCTTGGGAATCATGACAGGTGTTCCCTCCACCCCCTGTCTTTAAGATAGAAAAGACAACGACACATTTATTTGAGAGACAGAGAGAAAGGGCTGCCTCATCCACTGGTTTACTCTCCAAATGCTTGTAGCAGTTGGGCCAAAGGAATTAGCTGGAAACTCAATCGAGGACTCCTGTGTAGATGGCAAGAACTTGGTCACTTGAATAATCCCTGCTGCTTCTCAGGGTTACATTAACAGGAAGCTGGAGTTGGAAATGGAAGCCTGCTACTGTAGATGCGGGTGTTTTTGCTAGACAAAGTGCCCCTCACCACATCATGATACTAATTGTTAACACAGAATTGGCCATCATTACGTGGAGTGTTCAAGTCAGTAGCATGATATACACTCCTTGTGTGACTAATGGCCCTGGTCGCTCTGTCTTTAAGCTGATCCCAGATGGAGACTTTGGGGAAGCAAAGGTCTGAGCCCAAGGGGGTTCATTATGGATGAGAGTCACACACACGGAGGCTCCCCACCCCAAATGTCTAAAATTGAGATGAGATTCACATCACTGCCATGCTGAGGACATTTGCCACAAAGTATTGGGGGCTGATGTCACCTCAGGGACCTGCATCTCAGTGCATCTTGTGGGAGGCTTGGGGAGGTGGGGTGACACTTAATGTGCCCCCAAATCAGTCTTTTCTGGTTTCTTCTCTGTTGGTTTTCCTTCTTTATAAAGATGGTCTCCACTTTCCTTTCTGTGTTTTTGATTCTGGTCATGTCTGCTTTTCTTTCCTTTGCTCAGGCCACTTTCCTTCTTGTAAACACATTTAATGCACCTGCCTGTGTGACACTTGGCTGGGGGATGTGCAGTGTGGTCCCTGCCCTCCAGGATCTCTGCATAGTGGAGACAAGCAAAAGTAGGGTATGGGGTCCCAGAGCCTGGAAAGAGACACCTGGGGTTGGTTCCACAAGTCTTCTACTCATTTGAAGAATTTTAAACAGAGACAACCTAGGGCTGCACCAGGCTGTGTGGTTTTTATGGAGCAGCCTAATGGTTTTATGATGTTTGTTCTGGACATACCACCAGGCCACTGCCTTCTGAACACCTGGTGTGTTATCAGGATGGATCACCACCCTGTGAGGTGGGGCTTCCCTAATTAGGGATGAGGAAACCGGCTTTAATGCTCCAGGGGCCTCTTGGTTCTAGCCTGTATTGGGTAACATATGTTAACGGGTCCTGCCCCAGGTTTGCTTCAGTTGCCAGGTTTTGCTGCAGGCCTGATAGGAGCACAGGAAGGTAGCCGAGGCTGGGAGACAGGCCACTTGCTTGTTTTACCTGAAACCTTCTCCAGCAGCCTTGGTCTGGGCCCCTGCCTGGCAAGGCCCTGAGATGGGCCCCACAGCAGAGTGGCAGGCAGGGACATTGCCTGTGGTTCCCTGTGTCCTCTTTCCCTTTAGGTGGAGGGGGCTCAGAGGTGGCCGCATCTACAGGGTCAGTACATGAATGTCAGGGAATTGTGGGAACCTAGGAGGGGGTTGGGGAGAGGGCCAGTTTCTGGCAGTGACATTCCAGTTCTTAGCAGTTTCTTGCCCTTGGCTTTCTTCTGTCTGCCATACTGAAGATGGGTGTCAGTGGCATCTGCTCCCAGGGTTGTCATGGCCAAGGGGAGAAACATGCTCATGAGACACCAGCACGGTCATGAGGCATCCCAAGGCCGTTGCCAGAAGCCACCATTTTCATCCACAGTGCTCTGGGCCACAGCCCACAGGCGGAGAGGACAGTGGCTTTTGGAGAGCTGTTGTGTCTTGGGCAGTGCTCCTGCCTCCTGGCCCAGGTTGGGCAAAACCTCTTCCCACACAAGGCTCTGAATGTGGTGCAGGGCTGGGAGAATCAGGGCATGATCAGGATGGTGTCTAGGTTGCTTCTTGGTGACACTAGGTCCAATGCGTAGATCCAGCAGATGTTCACCCAGAGCCTGTTTGGGAATGCCAGGAGGGTGGATGGGACCATTGGGACCCAGCCCCAGGTCTCCAGGTGCAGAAGCAGGGTCCACTGTTGCTGCAGCCACAGTTAATGGCCCAGTGCTTCTCAAGGAGGTGATACATATTCCTTGGCCAGAAGTTGCAAAGTCTTTCTTTCTTTCTTTCTTTCTTTCTTTCTTTCTTTCTTTCTTTCTTTCTTTCTTTCTTTCTTTCTTTCTTTCTTTCTTTCTTTCTTTCTTTCTTTCTTTCTTTCTTTCTTTCTTTCTTTCTTTCTCTCTCTCTCTCTCTCTCTCTCTCCCTCTCTCTCCCTCCCTCCCTCCCTTCCTTCCTTCCTTCCTTTCTTTTTTTCTTTCTTCTTTCTTTTTTTTTTTGGCAGCTTATTGAGGGGAGGATAACCAAAACTTAGTTGCCTCTGAAAATTCATGGAAGCTCAGTTTTGTCCACAGGTGTAGAGAATCATGTTAAAGATTTTAAAATATTAACTACAAAAGGCCAGCAGTTGTGCCACCAGCAAGGTCCAGGGCTTCTAACATGTCCTTGTTCTCTTGGGTTTCCGGACTTTCAGAACTCTCCATGCCTTCTGATCAGTATGAGCTGCAGCTTCAGAACAGCATCCCCAGCCCCGAAGGAGACCCTGCCCGGCCCGTGGCTGTGTTGGCTCAGGACACGTCACTGGTCACTGCGGTGCAGCTGGGACAGAGCAGCCTGGTCCTTGGCCACAGGAGTATCCTTTTCTGGGGCCTTGTGTGCATGTGTGTGCCACAGGCTGTCATCTCTGCCTTTTGCAACTCAAGTTGTTTTTCTCCCTGCAACCTAGGCAAGGCTAAAAATAGCCCCATTTCCCCTCCACAGTCTGAAAGCTGGGGAGCACTGAGAGAGCATCTTGGAGCGGCATCGCTCCCCCTGAGGGTGACTCATTGGCAAGGTCCCCAGGGATTGAGACATTCCTTACCTCCAGAAGCTTCCATGGCCCTGGCAGAGGCTAGTCCCACACCAGCCCCCAGGCTGCATGTGTCCCATGGTCATTGTTCATTCACTGTTCTCACAGAGCATCCCTTCTGCTGCTACAGGGAGTGCCATGTGGCCCGTGATTCTGAGCAGTGCCTTGGCATGTCCTTGTATATATGTGTGATGTCTTAATGACACTGAAGTCATCTGAGCCAATTTCCAGTTCCCACTGGTCTCTTCACTGTCTGTGTCTTGTCCCTTAATTAAGCGTTCAGGTATCCGCATGCAGGGGGCTTCCCGGTTACCCAATAGCACTATCTACGTGGTGGAACCTGGATATCTTGGTGAGTATAAGCCCCCTAGGCCTTCATTAGTACTCATGGGAGTTTAACAGCATAAGAGGAAAGCAATGGTGATCCGCCTGCAAGGCCCACATTCCCCTGGCCTTGACTTTTTCCAGTCCCCTCCTGGATGTGCAGAAACAAGCGAAGGCCAGAGTAGTCAGGCAGGAGGAAGACAGCAAGAAGAGGGATGGGATAGGAAGAGGGATGCGCCAGTGCTTCACCTGGGCTTAACTTTGCTACAGATATTTGGAGCATGGAACATCATGGATAGCTCAGCCTCAGAGAATTCTGGCGTCATGTGACAGTAGGTGGCTTGGCTGAGTGGTGGAAGAAACACTTAAGAGGAGCAGAGGAGCTTGCAGTAGTGGAAGACAGCTTGGAAGATGGTCAGGGTGCATGTGTGACCCTCCTTGCATCTGAGGGGACTCTCCTGTTGAATGCACCCCTGTGTTATATTTGCTCTTGTTAGCACCTAGGGATAGTTTGGTGCAAACCAAAGGTGACAAGGTGTTGGCCCCTGGTGTCTTAGGAGCTTTACTGGTTCAGAAAGATTTGCTCACACCTTCTGTCTGCATAGCTTATGCTGGGGACTGAGCTGGGGGTGGGGTGACAGTAAGACAGGGTATTTTGGGGGTTGGGTGGGGAACAGGCAGCAACAGGGAAAGGGACACATTCCTACATGTGGGTGCAGAATAAAGAGGTGGGAGTGTGTGAGGGGTGGGCACTTGGTTCAGGTTTCAGAGTCCACCTGCTGAGGATGTGAATGAATAGGCAGAGCAGGGGCTGTTAGAGGGGCAGACATGGGCTCAGGTTCTGACTGCCTTAGATAGGTGGTGATTATCAGGTCACCCTTACGGCATCTACTGCTTCTCCAGAGATGAGGCCAGATGATGGAGCCCTCCAGGAGGGTGGGTGTGAGGTCTCCAGGTGAGCAATTGAGAGGATCTCCAGATGGGCAGTTGTGGAGTCTACCAGTGGGGCTTATAGGGACTCTGTACCTGTGACACTTGATCTCATCCTCTTCCTCTTCCCCTTGGCCCCCGAGGCCTGCATGCTCAGGCTCCCCATTTGCCTGTCTTTAGGATTCACAGTGCATCCAGGTGACAGGTGGGTGTTGGAGACTGGCCGCTTGTATGAAATCACCATCGAAGTGTTTGATAAGTCCAGTAACAAGGTCTACTTGTCGGATGTGAGTTCTGGCTTGGGCTCTGATGGTGGTGAGGTGGGGCTGTCTCCTGGAGCAGCTACTGAATGGAATAGCAGTCCCCAGAGCACCTGAGAGTCCCCCACCCCCACCCCCGGACCTCTGCCTGCTACTGATGCCCCTAGGTCTGCTCAGCTGATTCTTATGGGGCCCGGTTTGTCTTCAGAGCCTAAGCCTGCACTCTGCCTCAATCTGTGGCAGATGTCTCCGCAGGGAAGAGGGGGCCACAGACGGAGGTTTTGCCCGCTATCCCTATTTCACCGAGCCTGGGGTCTCTGAGGCTGAGATTGTCCTCCTCCTATTCCACAGAGAACCAGGGCCCCTTTCCTGACCTCCCAAGTACTTGACCCCAGTTCTTGCTGAGACCTCTGGGCCTAGAAGGCAACATGGATGCTTGGAGCTATCCCAAGAGTCACACATGAAGCTTCAATAGGGGTGCCTTTAGAGGGTGGCCCGGGGCCTGGCCAGAGCACCCTGGGGGCTGTTCCATGGCATTGCCCAGCTGTCTATTTGCCTTTGGGAATCACGGAGGGACCCTGGCCACTGTTTCTGGGTCCCCTGGCTTCTTGCAAAGTTCCTTCATCCTCAGTTGCCCAGAAGCTCCTGTCTCCCTTCCTGCCTCACCTTCCAGAACATCCGGATTGAAGCTGTGTTGCCTCCTGAGTTCTTCGAGGTGCTCTCGTCATCCCAGAATGGCTCTCACCATCACATTAGGGCCATTAGCAAGGGCCAGACAGCCATCAACGCAGCTCTCACTTCAGTGGTGGACCAGGCGAGTGAGCTTCTCCCCTCATCCAAGCCCTTGGCCCTTGACCTGCGGAGTATTCCTCCAAGGGCAGGCCTCCAGGGCCCCCAGCTCACCTGGCTGTACTTCTCTGCTCTTGGGGCTGTTTTGTTTCCAGAAGCCAGACCATCCTCTTCTTGCCCTCCTCCCTGTGCCTCCTTGGAGTGGAAGCCACTGTTTGGGAGAGGAGTGTGGTTCCTGTGTGTCTGACTGTGCCCTGCCCAGAGCTGCCTTCCCCACCCTGGATCTGCCCCGCCCCCGTTGCCCTGGTCTGTTTTGGTGTTCTGAATGTATTTTGAGGGCTGGTCAGTTCAGTAGAGTAGCATTTGAGTGAGTGATACATGGGCGGGGGCACCCTATTTTTCCAGCTGTAGCAGCAGACTTTACAGAAGAGAGCTTGAGGTAAGGGGGACATTGGGTATGTAACTTTGGTACCCCAAGCCCCAGTTTCCCCTTCTGGAAAGCGGGGAGAACCACACCTACCTTGAGCACTGTGTCAAACAGCATTGACGTGGTTGGCCACTATAGTGCTGTGGAAGGCTGCCCCCAACCCCACCCCACTCCCCTGGGGACCCAAGGGGCTGTGAGCTGTTTGGCTTCTACACATGCAGAATTAACACCCTTTGTGGCCTATCCTAATGGAATAACACACTATGCCCATGAGCTGGTTGTTGTCATGACAAGCTGCACCCTCACCCCTTGTAGGACGGAGGGGTGCACACACTACGAGTGCCTGTGTGGAACCAGCAGGAGGTGGACATTCACACCCCCATCACCCTCTACCCCAGCATCTTGACGTTTCCCTGGCAACCAAAGGCAGGTGCCTATCAGTACACAATCAAGGTATGTGAGACCCCACCCTGGGCGCAGTGTTTGGGATGTCTCCATGGGCTGTGACTTTCTGCCTATTTTGTCACTTGTTAAGTATTTTTCTCCAGTGGTTGGAGAGGGTTTTGAATTAGAAGCATTGAGATTTCTATCTTTCCTTGAAGTTTTTATCACAGCAGTGTATGTTGATTAGGAAAACAACAAAACCCAGATGTAGAATAGAACAAGAAAAAGTTCAGTAAATACTGATTTACAGATTTGAGTTCCACTTAGCTTCACTTTTCTAGAGAATATTGCTTTCAGAAAGTAATATAAATGCACTCAGAAAAAATTTAAATACAAGAATAGAATGTGGCCTACCCTGCCATGCAAGTTTGTGTTTGCATCTGGCATCAGCTGGCAGAGATTGACTTCAGATGGGTCAAGCCCTGTGGTCAGCACAGTCGCTATCATTCCCACAGTTCTCCTGGACTAGTGAGGAATATCCTGCACTGAGACCCCTGCCTTACCTGCTCAGGGTGTCTCCTTTCTGGCTGTAGGGCTCAAGGGCTAGAGGAAGGGAGTGCTGCACTTCCCTCCTCACAGATGACTAGAGGCGGGCAGGGCATGTGATGCAAGCTTGCGTCTTGACAGGGCAGCAGCATCCCACAGGAGGCTCATTGCCTGGGACTTCTTCCTCCCGCAGCCCCAGCTCTGGGCATTTCCGTCGGGTTCTGGGACCATTGCCATGGGATGTGTGTTTGTGTTTGTCAGTCATAAAGTTCCCTTGTGGGTGAGGACCAGAGATGAGACCTAGAGGAGAAAGCAGGGCAAAAGGAGCCTCAGCCACATATTGGCTGTCATCATTGTACTTGGGGTCACTGACCTTGATGATTGTATGTGAGAAAGTGGGAGTGGGTACATGTATGCATATGAGAATAAGTGAGGGTGAGTGTGTGCACAAATAATGTGAGTGGGGATGTGGCAGTGTATGTGAGTGTGGGGGCATGTGGCTGGGGGACTATGAGTAGATGTGTGGAGATGTAAACAGTTGGTTGTGACTGGGTGAGCATGTGTGAGTATGTAGGTATGGATGATTGAGTGTGAGCGGGTGAACATATGAGTGGGTGTGTAGGTGATAAATAAGTGTAAGTGTGAATGTGTGCAGATGAGCATGTGTGACTGGATGTATGTATGTGAGGATGAGTAGGTGAATGTGAATAGGTCAACGAGTGATTGTGTGACTGGGTGTGCATAGGAGTTTGAATGAGTGGGTAGTGAGTATGTTGGGGGAGTGGTTCCCTCTGGCTTCCTATGCAGGGGTAAAGCAGGTGGCTGATCCTATGATGCTTTGCCTCCCTAGGCTCAAGGTGGCAGTGGGAACTTCAGCTGGTCTTCCTCTATCTCTGAGGTTGCCATGGTCACTGTCAAGGGTGTGGTGACCACAGGTGGTGACACCGGACTTAGTGTAATACAGGCACATGATGTTCAGAACCCACTACATTTTGGTGAGATGAAGGTGAGTGCCCAGGCCCAGGACCACCCTGGGGGTTCTTTGGATTGTGATCCCCAGCTGCCCCTCCTAACCAGCTCTCAGGCATCATTCAGAAATAATCCTTTGTCCATGGTGTTGGTGTTGTTGGGGTCAAAGAGGAGGTCAGTACCTATCCCTGAGGCATTCACGGCCTTGTCAGCATAATGAACACAGCATCCCAATCTAAGCCACAATGGAATCAGAGGGTCAGCACACACAGTAAAGACACACGATCAACAAAGAGTCATTCTAAGAGTCATCAGGAAGAAATGAACTACAGACAGGAAAGTGGCACAGTGGTAGGTTCACATGGAGAGGAGACCCTCAGCTTCCATGGACAAGCCAGAGTCCTCTCCCTTCTTTACTATTTAGGTGCAAAGTCAGATGTTTAATACACTACACGCTGTTCCTGGCTGTTGACACTGAGGAAGACGGACAGCTGGTTGGGGTGGTAACCTGCAGGCGAGCCTCTACTAGCCTCTCCCCTCCCCAGATCTGACCCACTGCTCTGTCATCACCTCCTTATTCCTTTTTGGCAGAAATTGAGTCCCACAGTGTCTCAGTCTTCTTTTCCAGAATTTGGGACATGGGTTGATGTTAGTTCAATCTTTTAAGATTCTCATATAGAGAAGTATCAATGGATGTCATTTACGTGAAGCTTAATTGTCCAGTATTTGGATACACTGAGATCAGCTGGTCCTCTGTCCCCATCTTCCTCCTATTGGTGAAAGTGCCATCTGTCACCCATTGCTCAGCCTGTGTCTGAGGACAGCTTCTCAAGTGGCATGTGGGTCATGCTTGGAATCCGAGTTCTGGGCTTGACTGCTTGGTTCCCACTCAGATTCCTCTGGCTGTAGTCCTGGCATCTCTAGCCTTCCAAGGCCAGTTTCTTGAAGTGCAATAGTGCTGCCCAGAAGGAGGTCAGAGGGAAGAGCAGGGAGTGAGCTCTGATATTGAAGAGGCCCCACTGGGTAAGGTTGATACTGAAGCATCAGCAGGTACTGTTGAGGGTATTTGGTCTACACAAACATTAGCAGATGTTGCTAATTCTCTCAAGCTCCCTTTCCACTTTATCAGTCCACCTGACAGCTGTCTGTTCAAAATATTTTCACATGCCAAGCTGTCATCATTTGGTCCCAGTGATTTTCCTGCAGCCTCCCCACTGGTTCCCTAGCTGCTAATCTATATGTAGAGAGCAGAGAGATGAAAACCCCTAAAGTCTCCAGCTCAGCCACAGTGAGCTGAGTTCCTCTCATAGCTCAGGCCCTGCCTGACCCAGAACACTGCCTCCCAGGTCCCATGCCTTTCCACCCCATCATGAGCACCACACTGCATCCATGCTGGGCTTCTTGATAGTCCTGCTATGTGCTGAGCAGGTGTGGGGCCCATGCCCCTTGCACAGATCATCTGTGACTGGCAGTGTGTATATCCCCTGATGTAGCTCTCAGGGCGGAGCTCCTAGGTCAGCTTCACCTGGAGACTCCTGACATCACTTCCTCCTGACTCAGCCTGCTCCCCCTCCTGTGCTCACTGCACTTTGTAATGGATCTTAGCAATGGGCCAAAACTTTGCTAGGGTGGCTGCTGAGCCCAGGCCATCTCCCATTTTCCAGGTGTACGTGATTGAGCCCAGCAGCATGGAGTTCGTCCCTTGCCAGGTGGAGGCACGAGTAGGCCAGACCCTGGAGCTGCCCCTGAGGATCAATGGTCTGGTGCCCGGAGGGACCAGCGAGATGGTCACCCTGAGCGACTGTTCCCATTCGGACTTGACAGTGGAGGTGGAGAACCAGGGCGTATTCCAGCCACTGCCAGGTGAACCTGTACTGCTGAGTGGATGCTGGGAAGTGGGGTCCGGGCCAGATTCCTAGGCAGTGGGCTCAGGGCAGGAGAGGTGCAACAGCCTGGAGGAAGGCATTTGTGCCCTGTCCTTCATCCGCTCTGAAGCTTCCCCTTCGTGTGCTTTTACCAGCTGTCAGCTGGGATAAACCTGGGGTAAGCACTTGGCGTGTCTAGTCTCACCTAGATTCTACAGCTGCCACCTTGGAGCCACCACAGGGAGAAGACCTGCTGTTGGGTCACATGTCAGGGGAAGAGGCTGCAGAGTCATACTTGGGCATGTCTTACACTGCCCTTGAATTGTAATATCTTGCCAGGAGCATTAGCTGGGAGCTGCATTAAAAGTGGAGCAACTAGAACTCAAATCTGCACTCCAATATGAAAGGCTGGTATCTCAGGTGGCAGCTTACCTCACCTCACTACAGCACTGGCCCCTGTTGTGGTTCTTGTTCAAAGTATAATCAGTATGTGGAGGGGGAAAAAAGCCCTATGGATTGTGTGCTTGTGTGCTGCTTGTGCTCTATGGTATGTGAATTATGCTTAATGCTGTGAGGGTAGAATCAGTGTGAGTCAGAGCTACTGTGTGAGGCCAATTCCCAGGAACCACTCTATTCTCATTGCAGGGCGGCTGCCGCCAGGGCCAGAACACTGTAGTGGCATCCGGGTGCAAGCCGAGACCCAGGGGCACAGCACAATCTTTGTGAGCTACACACATGGCCATGTGCACCTGCGAGCCAAGATCACAGTCGCCGCCCACCTGCCCCTCAAGGTGAGCCAGGCCTGCGCTGATATGTTCATCTCTCCAGAAGTATTTGGGAGAAAGGAGAGCTTTGGGAACAGCTCCCCCTCCCTGTGGGAGGGCAAAGCCTCCCAAGTGGGGCAGTGGGTACTGATGGCAGGTGTTCACTTGCAACAACACCTGGCAGCTGGCAGGGCCTCATCCTGGCAGAGGCAGGAACTTCAGCTTTGCAGGGTTAAGGGAGGTTTTCAACAGAGATCAGTACTAAGGTGTTTCTGGTCCCCTCCAGGGTCCCTGTGGGACCATAGAATTGGGACAAAGGTCCTATGGTATTTCAGGTTCTTGGGCTAACAGATCCCTTCACATTTGGGCGGATTGGAACACAGGCCATCTGAGGATGAAGGAGCAGAGCAGAGGGCCCAGGGGCTCAGAAGAGTGTGTCAGCCTAGACACCAGCCCCATGGGGTAGCTACAGTCATGTGGGAGCTACAGATTGTGCCCCAGCAGAAGGGACAGAAGAAGGTTGCCACTGGATGGGCATGGGATGCTTCAAACTCCATCTGCGTGTGAGACAAACCAGCAGGACATTTCTGGTCTCATAGAGGGGCTGAGACGGCAGACTGCCCTAGGCATGCGCTCCCAGTGTGGGGGCATTAGAACCTGTCAGTCCTCTCCATAATCTGGGCGTTGAGCTATTGGAGTCTCTTGCTGTCTGTTCCCAGTCACAGATGTGTCTGTATGGCATGGGTGTAGTATCTGTGTGGTTTGGTGTTGTGCCCTGACAGCCATTGGTGCCAAGTGTTGCAGGTAGAAAGACAGTGCTGCCCAACGCAGCCCTGCCCGTGCCAAGTCAGGATTGAGTCACCTTCCTTTGCTCTCCACAGGCTGTGGACCCCTCCTCTGTTGCCTTGGTGACCCTGGGTTCCTCAAAGGAGATGGTGTTCCAAGGAGGCCCCAGACCCTGGGTCCTGGAGCCTTCCAAGTTCTTCAGAAACATCACATCTGAGGACCCCAGCAGCATCAGCCTGGCTCTCTTTGGCCCCCCCGCTTCTCGCAATTACCAACAACATCGGATCCTTGTAACTTGTCGGGTTTTAGGTGAACAGGTAAGTGAGCAGCTGCCCGTAGACCACCCTGTCCAAAGAGAGGGCTGAAATGTCATGGTCCCAAGTACCATTTTGTCTCATTCTGAGCCATTTGCTGCTCCAGCTGTACTCATGTAACAGGCAGGCAAACCAAAGCTCAGGGAGGAGTGATTGAGTGAACACCAGGCAGGCAGAGCAGGTGCAGCAGCTGGATCCACAGCAACTTTGAGCTGGCCTCAGGCTAGCCTTTTCTCTTCCTCAGCTTTCATAGTCCTAGTGCCCAGCATGATATGGAATCAGGGCTCAGGCTCAGGGACCACAGAGTTGGAAGTCTGCAGGGTCAGGTGGCCTTCATGTGTAAGATTGTAGATTCAAAGGTTAACACTTTCTTTTAGGATTTATTTTATTTATTTGAAAGAGTTATAAGGAAAGGGAGGGAGATTGGGAAGGAGGAAGAGAAAGAGAGTATCCTATCTGCTGGTTTACTCCCAAAATGACTGCAACAGTCAGGATTGAACTAGTCTAAAACCAGGAGTCAAGAACTCCATCTGGGTCTTCAGTATGGATACAGGGGCTCAAGTACTCGAGCCATCTTCCCTTGCCTTCTCAGGCACATTAACAGGCAGTTGATTCAGAAGAGGAGCAGCTGGAAATTGACCCTCCCACATGAGATGTGACTTCCCAGGTGGTGTCTGTGCCACAGAACCAGCCATTGCCATATCATCTTTGAAGGGCTCTCAAGAGAAGCTTGAAACCTCAGTATTTTATGTATATGAAATTATTATATATTTTTTAAATGCTAAAAAACAGAAATTTTGGAGGCCAAGTAGTGGGCACATGTGTGTCTGTGACCTGACCCTTCATGGGGCAGGATGGATGGATGTGGCAGCTGCTGCGCAGGCTCCAGGGCCTGGCTCCTCTTTCCCTTGGACTCTGGAAGTTTGACCCAAGCGGGATCACCTGTAGGACCTCCCCAACTCAGATGCTCTGAGCACATTTGCCTGAGGAGGACACTGCTGTTTGCCCTGCCTCGTGGTCAGGGAGCCTGAAGGATTTGTAGGCCAGACTTCATTACCACCAGAAGTGTGTGGCCTGGAGGAGGCACACACTTGAAAGGGCACTTGAAAGCCTGGCCAATGCCCTTGATTTCAGAGGCCCATCTCCCAGCCTCTGTTCCTCTGACCTTTACCTCCCAGGCTCCGGTTCCTATTCTGCTTCATTTTCTGCACATCTCTTATCCCACTTGTACCCGGTTCTAATGCAAACTGCTGCATCAGCCTGAAAATCTCATTTAAACATCCAGGAGCCTAAAATTGGCTGATGCAGCCATGGACTGTCCTCCAGGTTGGGGAAATGTCCCATCTACTTCTCCCATGTCAGCAGCAGCAGCAGTACCAACAGCAGGAGGTTCTGGCTGGCATGTGAGGGTGGGAGCTCATGGGGCTCCCACCTGAGGAAATGCTCTACTGCATACACCTGAAATGGTTTTTATCTATCCCTGGGGGTCAGGGGGTAGGGGTCATCCTCACAGCCATCCTGCAAAAGGCAAAATAGGTTCAGCTCCAAAGGGAGCAGGGCCCACACTTGGGGAATCTGATGGACCTTTCTGCCCACCAGGTCATCGCCCTCTCTGTGGGGAACAAGCCCAGCCTCACCAACCCCTTCCCTGCCGTGGAGCCAGCTGTGGTGAAGTTTGTGTGCGCCTCTCCATCCAGGCTTACCCTCATGCCTGTGTATGCCAGCCCACAGCTGGACCTGTCCTGTCCACTCTTACAGCAGAACAAGCAGGTGGTAAGTGCAGCAACCCGTGGGGAGAGCGGCATCGCTGCTGCCCACTGAGCCAAAGCCATGTTGGCTCTGGGCTGTACCTCTGGGTCTCAGCAGCCAGCCTCACCTGGACTGCTGATTTCTGCTGTGCATTGAAAGGGCACTTAGGGCTGGGGAGCCCAGTGACTTTCCCCAAGTCACAAGTGGAAGTGTCCAATGAGTATAGCCTTTTGGTAAATATTTGTGTATTTATTTATTTGAAAGTCAGAGAAAGAAACCTCCTTCTAGGAGCCGGCTGTACCCTCTGCTGTGATATACAGAAATACCTGCTACCACTACTGGGAAGTAGCTGGGGTCCTCATACATATGGCTAGAGCCAGAGGCCAGGAAGGACAGGGCTATGGTCAACATTTCCTCACCCAGACCCCTGAGAGCCTACAACTCAGCTGGCTTGCATTAGGATGCACTGTGTGGTTAATAGTGGCCATGCCCAGTGCAGATCATAGCCCTACTGCCTGACCTTTGCCTCTCACAGGTGCCTGTCTCCAGCCACCGCAACCCTCTGCTGGACCTGGCTGCCTATGATGAGCAGGGCCGCCAGTTTGACAACTTCAGTTCTCTGAGCATCCAATGGGAGTCCACGCGGCCATGGCTGGCCAGCATCGAGCTTGACCTGCCCATGCAGCTGGTGTCCCAGGATGATGGGAGTGGCCAGAAGAAGCTTCAAGGTGAGCCAGGCAAGGGGGCCTGAGGGTCTGGAGCAGGAGTGGGTATCAGTGACTCCCTGGTGGGTGAGTGTGCCAAGGTAGGTGGATGCATGGGGGGAGCTCAGTTCTCCAAGACAAGTATCCATAGCTGTGTCAGTGCACAGCCAGTTTACCTGCTGGCTTCCTTCTGCATGGAGGCTCCAGGTGCAGCCCCAGGGATTCTAAGACCTGGCTGCTGGCTACTGGCTGCCAGGCCAGGTCACAGACCCTCAACAGCCGGGCCTGGATGCCTCTCCTTGACCTAATGGCACTTTGCTTAGGGCCTGGGAATACCTGTGGTGTACCTGATTTGCTCAAACTCAGTTTTCAATTTCCTGACTAGAAACTGCCAGTCTCCAGGAGATAAGGCTCCAGTGACAGCCCTGACTCGACTCTCAGCCTCTCTTTTCCTCTTCCTCTGAGCAGGTTTGCAGACTGTTGTGGTTCATGAAGCTTCAGGGGCTACCACCATCTCAGCCACTGCAGCTGGCTACCAGCAGTCCCACCTCAGTGCAGCCAGAGCAAAGCAGCCGGTACTTCCCCAGGCCCCAGTGGGTGGCAGGGCTGCTGGGCCAGGTGGGAAGGGCTTCTGCGTCCTTTGAGACCTCTTTACTTCCCCATACGCTGGGGGTGGGCCTCTGGGTTGCCATGTGCTCTACCCACACACCCTCCTAGGATGAGCCATTGGAAAGTGTGTCTGACCCTGCCACTTCCAGGTTCCAGCTAACACCTTTGTGGCCATCAGACCCTCAGGAGAGGTCACCTCGTTGTCACTTAGGACTCCTGTGCACCCCCTCCTCCCCACATCCCACCCACCATCATACCTGGCAACACACAGTGCCCACTGCCTGGAATGCCAGCCTTTCCTATCCTCCATCTAGTCTCCAGCTATACTTCAGGAACAACTGCAGTGCCAGACTTTATAAGAGAAACCCTGAACTCTGGGCATGGAGCACCTTGCTCCTGCCCTATCTCAGAGCCCCTCTGTCTTCCATGCTTGTGGTGTTCAAGATGCCGGCACACACACAGGTGCTTATCACTATGCACACAAATCACTGCCCATTGGACCACCTCACTGCAGCATCCCTCAGGTCCCTCAGCAGAGCTACACCTCACAGGTGGTGGGGGGAAGCAAGTGTATTCAATGTGGAAAAGGAAAGTTTTCCAGTATAATCCTTGCTGGGTGACAACCACCCTATGGCAGTTGAGGGCTCCAACAAGTGCAGGTTCTGAGTAGGGGGTGCTTGGGGTGGTCCATCCAGCTGTCAGGGCCTAAGTTGTCTCCTAGGCAGGAGCTTCTGTAGATCCTATGGCCAGTGAGTGCGGTACTAAGTGGACATGGCCATAGGAGGGTGCACCTGCTGTTGGCCCTGGTGGCTTTGTCTCTCTCTGTGTTCCTATTGGCTTACAAGTAGCTTTGTTGGCCTTAAAGTACCTGCAGACCACAGGATCTAGGAATGTAAGGTCTTTGCCTTGTCGGGCTTCCTGTGCCCTGACTTCTCCTATTTTGATATTGCTCAGGGATTTTTTAATATTTATTTATTTTTATTGGAAAGTCAGATTTACAGAGAGAAGGAGAAACAGAGAGAAAAATCTTCCATCCACTGGTTCACTCCCCAAGTAGCCGCAATGGCCAGAGCTGAGCTGATCTGAACCCAGGAGCCAGGAGCCTCTTCTGGGTTTCCTCTGTGGGTGCAGGGTCACAAGGATTAGGTCCATCTTCTACTGCTTCCCCATGCCATAGGCAGGGAACTAGAAAGGAAGTGAAATAGAGCAGCCAGAATACGAACCGGTGGCCATATGGGATCCCAGGTGTGCAAGGCAAGGACTTTAGCTAGTAAGCTACAGTGCCAGGCCCGTTCAGGGATTCTTTCCCTGAGCTCTCTACTCACCAGAGAGCTGCTTTCCTTCTCAGATACTGTCCTGCTCCTGTCACCTGGGTGACCCACCCTCTCCACCATTCCCTGGCTGGCTCCATCTTTGCAACCTTGTGTCAGCGTAGTCCATCCCACCCCACCTCCCAGAAGCTTGTGCCCAACATGGTACATGCTGCAGAGTAGGTGCTGAAAAGCGTGAACATATGGTTAGCCCAGGAGTCTCTCACCAGGGACACGTTGCCATGTGTGTCACCCAGGGGAACGAGAGGGGCCCCTGTCCTCTGTGAGCCAGTGATGAAGACTCTCCCCAGGGGCCCTCCTTGCTCCCTGATGTCACTGCCCAAGTCCCCATCGGTAGCACCTGGTGTGGGCACGACAGCTGGCTCTCTGGGGTAGAGATGGGAAGTGACTCAGGGGGACATGATGACCGCCCCCTGCATTGGGACTGCAGGAAGCTGCAGTTCACCATGCCTGGCTTGGGGTGAGGAGGCCTCGGGGTGGTAGCTATGCAGCTGGGCTTGGGAGCAATGTCCCCTTGGAGATGGTCAGCCTCCTAGACCTGATGGCCTTGTCCCCTCAGCATGAGTCTCCTGTGCCTGTGTCAGCTTCTCTTGAGCTTATTCTGGTGGAGGATGTGAGAGTGAGCCCTGAAGAGATCACTGTCTACAACCATCCTCAAGTCCAGGTACAGTGCTCACTTGCCCCGGCTCCACTCACCTGGGCTCGCTGACTGTACCACACCCAACCCAGCCCCTACCACCATCTCCATTCTCCAGGCAGAACTCCACGTCCGAGAAGGCTCTGGCTACTTCTTCCTCAACACAAGCACCCCCGATGTCATGGATGTGGCCTACCAGGAGGCAGGGGGCATCGCCACGGTGAGCCTGTGGGCCTCTCTCATCTGGGCCTCTGTGTGGTTCACAGGTTAATTATTTCTAAGCTGGCACTTAATCACAACTGTAATTGGCAAGGGTTTTGCATTCCCTGATTCCAGGTGCTGCTCTGTGATCTGTCATGGATACCTGCCAACCTCCTGCACCCTGTTAGTTACCTAAGGGCTTCCTTGCTGTCAACCTTCTAATGAAGAGGAAAATATGAATTCACGAGCAGCATGTACCAACCAGGAAGGAAATTGCTAGTGAGAAATGTGTCAGCTCTGGCCACTTCTTTTCTGTTTCTTTCTTGACCCTTTCTCTATTATCCCAAATAATGACATGACCAAGAATGTTTGGTTTCCATGGTGAGTAGCAGGGAGAAGTGGGGGTTGTACAAACTAGGGAGAGATTGGTAGGAGATTCCTGTGCAGTGCAGTCACTGCACACCTCTGGCAGGTTTCTGGTACGACTTTAAAAGCACCTGTCCTGGAATGTGATTCATACACCATATCGTCAAAGCATTGCACTTTAGTGGGTTTTTGTGCATTCACAGATACAAATCTGTTTAGCAGTGCCACATTCCATTTTAGAATGTTTTTATTATCTTAGAAAGAATTCAGGCAGTTTAACCATGTCTTTTCTGTAAGTATACACACATGCACATACACTCAGACTCACCCACCTACCCTACATCCCAGCATTGGGCAGTCACTAATATCTTGGTAGGTTTGGGTTTTGTAGACATAAATGGAGTCAGGTAACAGAAGGTCTAGTGTCTGGCCTGTCACTGAGCGTGGGGTTTCCAAGGTCCATCATGTTGTGGTACCTATTGACACATCATTTCTTTCTATGACCAGAAATAATCCACCAGATGGATTTATTCATTTGCTCATTGGGGCATCTGGGTTATTTCTGCCTTTTGAGTATCTGTGCAGACAGAAGTTCTCATTTCTGTTGGATGTGTGCCCAGGCATGGATTACTGGGGTCCTTGTTGTGACACTGTGCTTAACTTTTTGAATGTCTGCTCCTGAGTATTCTGACTGGCCGCAGCTTTCCTCATTCCTGCCAGCAGTGTAGGGGATTCCAATACTTGTCAGACTTAAATTTCAGCCATTTGTTCTCATTTGTATTTCCCAAGTAGCTAATGGTGTCAAGCCTCTTATCATGTGCCTGTTGGCCATTTGTATGTTTTCTTACAACAAATGCCTATTAAAATCCCTTACGTATTACTTTTGTTGTTTCATAAAACTATAGCAGTTTATTCTGTTTTCTAGGTATAAACATTTTATTATGTTGTTTGTAGATATTTTCTTTCATTGAGCCAATTTTCTTTTTCACTTTCTTAATAGAATACTTTCTTTAAAAAAAAAAGATTTGCTTATTTTTATTAAAAAGTCAAATATACAGAGAGGAGGAGAGACAGGATGATCTTCCCTCTGATGGTTCACTCCCCAAGTGACCGCCTCGGCTAGAGCTGAGCCAATCTGAAGCCAGGAACTTCTTCCAGGCCTCCCATGCGGGTGCAGGTCCCAAGGCTTTGGGCCATCCTCGACTGCTTTCCCAGGCCACAAGCAAGGAACTGGATGGGAAGCAGGGCCGTCAGGATTAGAACCAGCACCCATATGGGATCCTGGCGCGTCCTAGGCGAGGACTTCAGCCACAAGCTACGCTATCATGGCGGGCCACAATAGATTACTTTCAAGCACCCAAGTTTTGAGTTTCCCTGAAGTGCATTACTCTTTTGTGTTATTTCTTGTGTTTATTTTTTTAAATTTACTTACAAGGAAAGAGCTCACCAGCCAGAAGGACAGTTAACTATCTCCAAATGCATGCAATAGCCAAGGCTGGGCTGAGGCCAGAGTCAAGAATCCATAACACAGTCCAGTTCCTCCTGTTGGGGTTTCAGGAACCCGATCACGTGGGCTATCTGTACTGGTTCCAGGCTCTGCATTAGCAGGAAGCTGGAGTCAGGCTGAAACAGTGATCAAACCCAGGCACTCTAACATAGGCTTCATAATCTCTAAACACCTATTCCCTAGCTCATGTTTCTTATGTCACATCTAAGCATCTGTTGGAAATCTGAAGTGGTGATCTACTTTATGTTTTTATTTGTGAGTTTTAAAGTTTCAACTCCAGGGCCAGTGTTGTGGCAATCAGTTGAAACTTCTGTCTGTTACATGGGCATCCTGTATGGGTGCCAGTTCAAGACCTGGCTACTGTGCCTGAGGAAGCAGTGGAAGATAGCCCAAGTGCATGAACTTCTTTTTCCTTGGGCAGCCCTCAGGGAAGAGATGACTTCATGACATTTGTCCCTCTTCAGAGGTGGAGTCTGAGGTGGCAGGACCCCCTTGCTCCATGTTGTCTCTGGTGTCAGAGCTAGAGAACCCAACCCCGGCACCTGAGAACTCGTGGGTGCCGTTGGAAGAAGCTGGAAGTGTGGGACTGCAGGCGCTCATCAAAGAATGCATAATTCCCCATCACTTCTCTGCTTTTTGGCTAAGATCAAGTGTAGAATGCACAATTCCCCAGTCAGCCTTCCTGCCGTGGGAGATGGGAGGGAGGCATTCCTTGTCAGACTCTCTGAGCTAAAAGACCTTAAACCGTATGTAGTTCTGATTGCTTGAGATGTGCCTTGTTATGCTTCACTTGCAGAAATTCAAAACAACTTCTCCATCTTCAATCTCAGGGGGGCATTCAAGTCAGGGGAAAGGTCTGTAGGGCTGTGCTGAGGCTGATCTGACCAGAGCAAGGCCTACCCTCCAGGAACCTGAGCACTTAAGAGTTGGCCTGGGTTGGGCTGCCTCTATAGGTCCTGCAGCTCTTACACCCAGAGACAACCAGAGGCCAGGGAGAAATGGAACCTACTTCAGACTCCACCTCTGAGAAAAGTAGGAGCACCCATCCCTGAGGGCTGCCCCAGGAGAAAATGTCCTCTCCACTGGGAAGGCCAAGATCAAGGCCTGCAGAATGCATAAAACACAGCTCAGGCAACACACAAACAGCAAATCTGAATTACTCAAAACTTTAACACGAGCGGGGTCACTTCTCTGAAAGACTCAAGATGGGATTCCAGCCTTTGATCTGAGTTTTCCTGAGGAGAATGCTGCAGTTGTGGTTGAGACAATATCTGTCCTCAGTTCACAGCAGCTGCAGCAGGGCCATAGCAGTTCTCTGGGTTGTGTGCTGACTGCTGCCCTGTCCATACCTTATTCCTCCTTGGGCTCTTGGCTCAATGGGGCATGACCTGAGCACAGTGTGGTACGTGGGGAGGTGGCATCCATATGGCAGGGATCTTGAAAACTTATGTTTTGGAGGGTCCAGGGGGTATCCTGTCCATTAAACCCTGTGCTTCTTCTCCTCCAAGGTTAGTGTCAGGCACCACTGCCACCCCAAGTGGAGATTGGATCCCAGCTCCTGGGCGCACTCAGTACCTGAAGGGGGAATTGGTTATGGAGCTTGGCCGCCCCTTTGGTGGCAGTTTCTCAAGGACATTTACACATTTCTGTGAATTTTCCAGCTGCTAATGAGCGACATTCTCATTTGCCTTAATCACAGAGATGTGAAAGCCCACAGCCGCTCTTCAATTAGCGGGTAGGAAGTGTTGAGTTCTTGCCTACTGATGCGAGTCTTGGCTGCAAGAATGGCTCCTGGCTGTGTGTGGTTTCCGGGCATCCTGGGAGGTGCAGAGTCTGGAGCTCCCACAGCAGGCTCTGGGGGGAGGCGCCAAGGCCCACACAATACACAGGGGGCCCTGCCCTGTGAGGCTGTGATTACTTCTGCCCACCCACCCCCTAAGACTGGGCTTTTGTTTTGTCTTTGGCTGGTTTGCATGTGGGAACATTTACCTAGTTTAAACTTAGGGTTCTTTTCTTCCCAGCTGCACTCTGAGTTTCAAAATAAGTCCTCCCAGCAGAGCAGGGAAGGGCTTGGAGCACTTGATACCACTAATCCATTCAGTGGAGCTTGATAGAGGAAGGAGCAGGGCTGGTGCTAGACACCCAGGGCTGGATGGGGACAGAAAGGCAGCTGGGCAGCCATGCCATGCCTTTGGGAGCCTCCATGACCGAGGCTCCTCACAGAGCAGCTATTTGTGATGCCAGGGCACAACTGTGGAGGCATGGCAAGGGCAACAGCTGCAGGGTTTGAATGACCCTGACCTGTGAACAGTGAGATACCTCCCCAGCCCTTGCTCTGTCCAGCGCCCCCTTGTGAGGTCTTATCTGGTGCCCAACCCAGTATCTTTTGGAGGGGCCTATGATTTTTCCCAAGGGCTATGACAACAAGCAAGGAGGGCCATGGGAAGCAGATGCTAACAAGCTGATGGCTCCCATGAGTTCAGAGATATCGGTAGGGACCCTGGACTCTGACAGCAACTGTCAGAGGACAAGTCTGAAGTGCAATTAGGGAGTGGGGCTCACGTGATGTGGACAGAACTCCAGTGCCCCAGGCGAGCCGTGCTAGGTGTCACAACTTCCTAATGAGCCGCAATGCATTCATCCCCTCCATGTTGCTGACAGGATGTTCCCTGCAGCTTGCTGTCGCTGATGTCCTCAGCTGGCCCCTTCACACCCAGGAATTGGGATGCACAGGGAGTGGGTGTGCAGCAGAGCAGCCCAGATGTCTGCATCCCACACTGGACTCCCAGCTCTGGCCTCTGGCTCTAGGTTCTTGCTGTGGCCGACCCTAGGAGGAGGTTCAGATCATAGAATTCTTGCCTCACATGTGAAAGACTTGGGTTGGGCTCCGGGCTCTTGGCTGTGGCTCTGGCCTGGCTTTAGCTGTTGGAGACATTTGGGAAGGGAAAATAACAGCTGAGAGTTCTACCTATCTACCTACATATCTACCGCTCAAATAGTAATTAAAAAATGAGTTCATCATGCCCATGTTTTCCCACTTGCGAAGAATCATGTGGGTCACAGACACCCAAAGACACAAGGTGAGGTGAGCCACACACAGTGCAGAGTCAGGAGTGGGTGTGGCTCCCCAAACCCTCTGCCTGCACCATCATGGGAATGACAGGTGCTGATATGGGTACAGTGCACAAAGCTGACAACAGCATGTTCTGAGAGCCGTCCTGGCACTAACCTCTTAATTCCAGCCTGTGGCCCTATAGCCCATGGGATCACTATGAGAATGAGCAGAGCACTGGTTGAGTTAGAATTTTCTGTGCTCAGTACTTCCGCAGATGGTCTTTTGGGTTCTTGGATGAGGAGGTAATGTGCAGCTGCAGGCCCTGTGAGAAACAGAGTGGCTCAACCCTTGCCCTGTCTTGCAGGTACAACCGCTGCTCCCAGGCTCATCAACTGTCATGATCCACGACTTGTGTCTTGCCTTCCCGGCTCCAGCCAAGGCCATCGTTCATGTCTCAGACATTCATGAACTGTATGTCCGTGTGGTTGACAAGGTCAGTGAGAGCTTCCTGATGCAGGTCCCTCGACCCCATCTTTAGATGCCAGAAAGCAGGAGAATGATGTGGGAGGTGTTTCTCCCTGTACCTTTTGCTTCTGCTCCTGATTCCCGCATCCCTCCCACCCACTCTTGAGTCGCCATGAGCTTGCAATACTGGCTTGCCTCATCCCATGCAGCTGGTGTGGAGCCACCTCCCAGGTTGACATGGGCAAAACTTGGCTATAAATCCTGTCATAGGTTGTCTCCAAATCCACCTTGTGTCATCTAGCAGTGGGCTGCTGCCCAGCCAGGCACATGCCTCACCGCACCAGAACTTTTCTCCGCAGAATGTAGTTTCAGAGTTCCTGAGATTTTAGTGGCAAATGAACAAAACCCATTTATACAAAACACTTCTACACAACGAATAATGACTAGCTGGAGGCTCCTTAACCGACACAGAGGAGCTGTCTGATGGCAGTCAGTTGAGGGGCCTGAATCTGGGCTTCCAGAAGCGGCTGTCAAGGCCTTGCCCCTTGAATACAGCGTGGCTGGCAATTGAAAAGAGAAATTTTAGGCAACTTAGACTATTTAGCAAGCTCAGGCCTCCCTGCCTCGCCCAAATCTTCTGATAATCTTATTTCCGCTGCTGATTTGATAGCCAGATTCTTGCCACTTCACTGAACATTTCTGGTGGTCCGTGTCCTAATGTTCTTGCTGAAAGTATTAGACACTCTTAGTGAGCATTTATTAAGCCCCAATTATATGCTTACTGCTATTCTGAGGTGTGGCTGTTTTTCTTTTTTCTCCCTGGTTAGTTAGCTTTATAAAAGTAGGGAGTGCGGTGTTCATGTCTCTGTGCATTCCCAAGTCCCCTGGTGTGCAGTTCTCACTTGGTTGTGGATTGATAGTGATTCACCCTGTCCCCAGGTCTGTGGGTTTGAGGTGGGTGGACCATCTCAAAGGCATGGGGTGTCAGAGGGGGAAGTCAGTCATCCACAGGTCAGCCGCAAACACGTGTCCCCACACTGCAGGTGGAGATCGGGAAGGCAGTTAAGGCCTACGTCCGTGTGCTGGACTCCTACAAGAAGCCTTTTCTGGCCACATACTTCACCTTCATGGACCTGAAGCTTCGAGCGGCCTCCCAGATTGTCACCCTGGTGTGAGTCCTCCCAGGGAACAGTGAAGGACAGCTCAGCAGGGGAAAGGGGGCAATGCTGACTCCAACCACCACCTCCATCTTGAGAAACAAGTCCCAGCCCTTCCCTGTGTTTTCAGGGCCCTGGATGAAGCCCTGGACCAGTACACTGCTACGTTCCTCATCCATGGGACAGCCATTGGACAGACCAGCCTGACCGCCAGCGTAATTGATAAAGCTGGACAAAGAATCAACTCTGCACCTCAACAGATAGAAGTAAAGCAGCTACTTCTCACACTGCATGGCCAGCCCACCTGGGGAGGAGGGGTGTCTCCTGCAGTAGGCCAGATGCACTAGGGACAGTTCAGGAGGACACCACAGAGAGGCCATGTTGCATTATGTGTCCTTAAATGTTTTCTCAGAAGGCAGCTGTCAGCAGGCCCAGTGATCTGGGAGGCAGCAATTAGGCTGGGAGAACTAGTAGGAGGAATGGAATTCCCTCCACGTTAGGAGTCAAATGGCTCAAGGGGAGTGTGCCTTGTCACAGGACAAGGGGACAAGCAGGGCCTGCTCCCAGAAAGCATGGTCTGGCAGCAGTTCGAGACTAATATGTCAGACAGTCAGCCCAGAGCCAGTGGGCTGTGCATGCAGTGACAGCTGTAGAACCATGTCCCTGGAGCAGGTGGTCCCTGCCTGGCCTCTGTATGGGACTGGTGTCAGGTTTGATGGCAGCTCTGCAGTAGTCAGGAGCTACTGCAGCTGCGGCCAGGACTACTGCCTGAGTGTGTCCTGCCACATTGAAGGAACCTGCCTGCATCCTCCATGGGGCTTGGCCATGAAGGAGCCTCTGGCCTTCATTAATCCCTGCTCCAAGGCTGGGCGAGACGGCATGTGCCTGCAGAAGGAAGCACACCTCTCTGCTCCTGGTGAGGAGGAAGTCTTCTCTGTCTATAAATAGCATAGCCCTACGGAGATTAATCCTTGCACACAAAGCAGGCCTTGGCCGGCTGGCATGCACACTCACCTCCAAGCCTTCTTATGCTCTTTCCCTGCAGGGGCTTGGGGCTATGCAGGAGGTGGGGCAGGGCTCTGCCACAGAGGTGGGTACCCCTGCACCCTTGTTCTCCATCCAGGCTTATCCCTGGGTCCCCTTTATTCTTTGGAAGATGCTGAGGGCATTGAGAGAACTATCCTAAGGCTTTTTGTTTTTCAGTAGAAATTTGGAGAAATTGAGGGGAAAGACAGCTTTCCAAAGAGGAGTCAGGCTCTGGAAGCCAGTGGTCTGTGCAGAGTTACCGGGTCCCAGCCTGCGGGACTGCTCCACCTCATGTCTGTGGGCCTGGCTCTGTTGGCTCGCCTTGAGAACCCTGTGCCCTGGGGGATGTGGCGAGGGGTGTCCTTGTCTCTTGTGGTTAGATAACTGGTGAGGTGGCATATGCTCACGAACAGAGCACATCCCAGAGATTTAGAGTCTTGGCTGCAAGGAGAGACACAGGCTGCTCCCAAACTGGCCCGTGGGGGTGTGTCCGTCTCCACATTGTCATCTCATGACAGTGTCCCGTGTGACCGTACGTGGCCATGTAAGGTGGGAACACCTTGGACTCTGTCTTGTGTCTCCATACACAGGTCTTTCCTCCATTCATGCTAATACCCAGAAAGGTGACACTGATCATTGGAGCCACCATGCAGGTAGGAACCTTGTCCCCCCACCCAAGGGGTTCCATCCTTAGCCAAGTGCAGATGAGCCGAGCCCAGCTGCTCCTGTAGGAGCTGATGGGAACCTGTTTCTCGTCCTTCAGATCACCTCTGAGGGCGGCCCCCAGCCTCAGTCCAACATCCTCTTCTCCATCAGCAATGCAAGTGTCGCAACCGTGAGCAACGCTGGGCTCGTGCGTGGCCTTGCCCTCGGCAATGCCACAGTATCTGGGGTCGTACAGGCTGTGGATGCAGAGACTGGCAAGGTCATCGTTGTCTCTCAGGTAAGAGATGGCACTGTTAGAACCTGCCCTTGCCCTGGGACAGGACACTCTGGGACTGGGCTCATTTCCTAGTGGCTGTGATGGGTGGTGCCTGGTGTCCTGTCCTGGGTTTGGTCTCTGCCTCCAAGGACTGGCTGTCTGTAAGGACTCTGGTTCAGCAGCCCCTGCCAACCAGGGGACATCATGCATCATGAGGCTACTCCTCTCCTGACTGAATTTCCCCATCTTTCCAACCCCTGCTTACAGGACACGGGTCTTTAACACCTGCCCCTCCCCCAGGGACATCCCAGTGGGCAGTGATGATTATTACGATGGCAGATACTTGCCTCTGTTAGGCCATCATGTCCTTGTATGTGGCTGTCTCTGTTTGTAGACAAGGAGCCCAAAGGACACCCTTGTGGCTTAGGGCTGCTGTGAGACAGTTCTGAGAAGTGGCCCCAGGGGGTGCCTGTGGGAGGGGAGGGTGCTATGGCTCAGAAGTGCAGCCTGTGTCCTCAGATGGCTGTGCTAGAGCGTGGATAATTGAAAATCGATGGCATTTCAGACCTGGATTTGTATTCTGGGAAAAAAAAGAAAACCTGAGCTACCACTAACATCTTTCATTCAGCCAGAGGTTAAGTTAGCTTGCATCTGTCTTACTGGTGTGGGAAGAATACCCAGCTGTTTTTTCAGATCAATGAAACTGGAAGCCAAGTCAGGGGTCCCTTGTCCTAGGAACAGCTTTGTTGCTGTCAATGGCATTGAGTCCAAGCAGGCGGAAGTCAGCATCTGGGGAGCCTGACAGTTTCCTTCCTTTCCCGGGGGTGATCCCACTCTGGTCCTTTGCAACAGAGGTGGAAAATCATTTTCTCCTGGAAAAATCCCAGGGCCCAAAGCTACAGGTGTTTGTTTTTGTCCTGTCCCACTTCACCTACTGGGGTCTCACTCAGCTGCCCAGCCATCTGGGCTATAGGAGGAGCATTTGTTTTGTCGTGTTATGAGAATTGAAACAAGGACACAGTTTCTCAGAACTAACTTCCTGAGTCTTCGCCCCATCAGGTCCCCTGGCAAAAGTCTGTCAGAACCTCTGATCTCAGAACACCGTAGACCACTTATGGTTGAGCTGGAGGCCGGCAGGAGCCATCCAGTGCTCGTCTCCCCAGGCTATGTTTGATCCAACATTGAGTTCATTGACTGACTCCCTTTGCTAGCTGTTTCCGAGGCCACCTCTGAGAGCGTGCCGGTTAAATCACAGAGCCTGTCTGACTCACAGGTAGATGGCCTGGTTCTGTGCTTCAATTGTGTAAAAACAGCAGGAAGACAGCAACAGCACAGGAGGAGCAGTGCCTAGAAAGTAAGATGCAGAAGCAGGAGAAGTCTTCCTCGTGCTTCTAAAGAAAGCAATGGAACCTCAGGAACTGACTCACAATCTTCACCCCCACCCCCTTGGAAAGTTCCTTCAGAGGCCTGGCCTGGCTGGGGCCTGTGTGACTCTGGTGATGCCTCCAGTCCAGATCACACAGAACCTGCGTTCTAAGGTTAAGGGCTGGCCCAGGCCTAGCAAGAAGAGGCTGAGTGGTAAGATGGACAAAGGAAAGGAGGAAGGGTTCTTTCCAAGCACCTTAAATAGGTTCAGCCTGAGCGCATGAGGGTTTCAGAGGTCTGAATTGAACGTGGCATCAGAACCATGAAGAAGCCAGGGAGGTTGGTCTTGGGCTGGGACAATAGGGCATGGAATTCAGAATTAGTTCTAAGAAGTCTCTGCCAGGCTTCTCCATTTGTCCCTATAACTGCTTGGTCAGAGGCAGTGGACTGGATTTGCCATGGAGAAGGCCTGGAGACCTGTTCTGGGAATGCTGCCCAGCCTGGACAAGGGTGGAATCTGGGTCCTGCTGCCATGTTCAGTGCTTACCTGGAGCACCAGGACCAGAAGATCTGACTGGAACTCCTGGTGCCTGGGAAGGGAGATGTGGGCAGAGGAGCATGGACTCCCTGACATCCTCTGGGTGCTTTTTAGCCATGGGACATAGCAGGGCCTCCTGAACCGACTACTAGCAGTCTGCCTGAGTCCCCAAACCCTCTCCCTAGGACCTTGTGGAGGTGGAGGTGCTACAGCTTCGGGCCGTGAGGATCCGTGCCCCCATTACACGGATGAGGACCGGGACTCTGGTGAGTGGGAAACCTGCTGGCAGGCCTTGATCTTCCAACAGCGGCTCCAAATGAGCCCCTGTGCTAGCACAACCCTGCACTTGCCCCTTATTGCCCCCCCTGTGTCATGGAGCCCTGCTCAAGCTTCAGTGCCTGCCCTGACCCAGGGGGATGGACATCCATTACTCTCTTTAGCACACAGTTTCTTTGTGGTAACATTTGTTCCATTAGCTTCTGCATGCAGATCTTTACCCTGCTCTTCTAGGACGCTGTCTCCATCCCCCACATAGCACCAGCACCCGAGACACAGCCAGAGTGTACTTACACTGTGCTAAGATCTGTGTGTACTAACCCCACTGGTGGGGAAACCCCTCATCAGCCAAAGACCACCAGAACACTTTCCTAGCACCTTCCGGGGCTGGTGGGCATCATCAGAGCTCCACAGAGCTTGGTATCAGAATCATCTCTGTGTTGCCGATGAGCCAGTGAGTTCATAGAAGGCTTGGGCTGTGCCCTCAGAGCTCATGTGGCTGACTCCATGGGCCAGCTTCCTCAGCATCTGCATTTGCTGCCCCATGGCAGACACTTGGCAGTTACAGGCTGGATAATTTGGTGGGTCCCACCTGACCTACCTGCTTGAGCAGGGACCCCTGCTAGATTAGGATGGAACCACACAGAGACCTCCAGGCCTTGGGTAGCTGGAGGGCCCAGGCATCGCAGAGGTGCAGGGGAACATTCCAAAGATGGTGTCTAGGCTGTGAGGAGCACAGCCTAAGCAGGAGGCACAGAGTTGGACAGGGGATAGTTTGATCTCTCATCAGCTCTGCTGTTTGCTCAGACTTTTCCAATATTGTACCATGTCTTTCTGTGGTTTTGGAAGACAGGCTCAGCTCCCAGTGCATGTGGGATGCAGAGAAACCATGAGGAGTTCCTAACTCGGGGGACATGGGTCATAGGGCCTGGCTTCTTCCCACAGATGCCTGTGTACATCACCGGGATCACCAACAACCAGAACCCTTTCTCCTTTGGCAATGCTGTGCCAGGACTGACCTTTCACTGGTCCGTCACCAAGCGGGACATTCTGGACCTCCAAGGGAGGCACCAGGAGGTAATCCACCCCACTCCAGAGCCCTCTACTACTTCCTGCCATGGGTCAACACTCTCCCAAATGCCCACCTAAAGGGATGGCTTGAAAGATTATTTTCTGCCTTGTCTGTGGTCAGGCTGGGGCCTAGGCTGAGAACCAAGCACAGTCTAGGGTTTTTCTACAGACCCCCCAAAGTTACCTTCTAGCGTGACATGAATGCTTTCTGCTCCCTTGCCTGCTGGGGCTGGCACCCTACCCCTTGTACCTGGGCTTCTGAAGGGCTCCCATGATCTCTGAGCAATGGTCTGTGAGTAGGACAGGCTCTGTGGGCCTGGCTACAAGGCCAAAGCCAGCTGGGTAGGTCGTCACTCAGAGAACCTCAAGGTTGAGGTGCCACTCATAAAGCTGCCAGCCTTTCCCAGGCATCTCCATACCAAGAGGAAGCACAGCCCTGGGGCCAGGCAGGAAGGTAGCTGTCTTTGAGAATGGGCAAGATGCTCTCAGGTGGGACCCAGGAGTCCAGACCCACTCGTTCAGCTCTGCCATAAGGACACTGTACCCCAGGCCTTTTCCCTGGAAACATAGATCCTGTCTTTGCCAGGCCTCCATCCGGCTCCCCTCACAATACAACTTTGCCATGAACGTGCTTGGGCGGGTGAAAGGCCGCACAGGGCTAAGGGTGGTGGCCAAGGCCATGGACCCCACTGCTGGACAGCTGCATGGCTTCACCCAAGAACTCTCTGATGAGATCCAGATCCAGGTAAGAGACAAGGGGCAGAGCTGTGTGTGGGAGGGACTGGTTCCTTTCTCCCCTAGCGCCACACTTCAATTGGACCAGGGATCAGAATGGGGGACACTGGTGTCAGGCAGGACTGTCCTGTCCCCAAGAAGTCTATCTCCTGTGGCAAGTTGGGGCTGGTGCTGTGGGTCAGTGGGGCCTGGAGTCTGCATAACCTAATATGGCACATTGGAGCAGGTGGTTAGGTTAGGTTACAGAAAGTGAGAGAGAGAGAGAGAGAGAGCTCCTCCATCTGCTGATTCACTCCCCGTAAGACCACATGGCTATAGCTGGGCCAGCTGCAAGTCAGCAGCCAGGAACTTCTTCGAAGTTTCCCATGTGCATACAGGGACCTAAAGACCAACACCATCTTCTACTGCTTTCCCAGGCCATTAGCAGGGAGCTGGATTGGGAGTGAAGCAGCTGGGACTTGGATCGGTGCCCATGTAGAGTGCTGGTGTGTGAGATGGTTGTTCTACCCACTACACCAACACACCAGCCCCCTGAGAGGAGGTTCTGAGATGGCAGCAGCAAAGGACATGTACCTCAGGGAGACATAGAGGCTCAGTTCAAGCAGAGCTGCAACCAAGCAGGACCCTGAGCCCCCCATGCACGCACCCTGGCAGGGTTCCCTCTATCCTGGCCCTGTGTGACTTTTGCCATCAGGGAATGCAAACTGCACCTGCCTGCTGTTTTCTCACTGGGGCCTCTCTTACAGATCAGCCCTCCCCATCTCACCCCTAGCTACCTGGCAGGTGCTGCTTACCGATTACCTCATCTCTGCTCTCCCCTTGGCTTCTGCCGCTAGGAGATAAGCAGATCCCTGTGCCAGGCATGCCTCACCAGAGCCACAGGAAATGACGCTGTCTTCCTTCTCCAGGTGTTTGAAAAGCTGCGACTGCTGAGCCCTGCAATAGAAGCAGAGCAAATACTGATGTCACCCAACTCCCTTCTAAAGCTGCAGACAAACAGGTGCATGATTCAGCCCTTGTTTTCCTGCGACTCATTTGTCAAAGTTGTCAGGAGCTGTGGGTGCTCTCAGTGGATCCTTCCTTGCTTTGTGCCCAGATGAATCCTCTGTCCCTGCTTAGCCTGGCTGCCGGCTTCCCTTGCTGTCCTCGCCATTTCCTCTGCTTGCCACCCAGAAACCTTATCCTGCCTGGTAGCTGCTGAAATATGTCCTTTAAAGCAAGGACAGTATGCCAACATAGAATGCTTGATTTTTCAAATCCCTGAACCCACCCCCACATCAGGTATCTAAGACTTGCCACTTAAAGAGCAGCCTCTGAGGCTGCAACTATAGTGGCTTTGGGGGCCACAATAAAATGCAAACCTTGGACGTGGCCCAGTCCCACCAAAGCAGAATTTGAGCCCTGAGGGGATGCTTAGGCAGGGGTGTCACACCCAGGAACTTCCTGGAAGTGCTGCTTTAAAGCAGGGGTACAGGTAGCTCATACTTTTGATTCCCAGAGGGCAGGCATCTTTCTCACTGTGAGTTGCACTTGAGTGACAGTTACAAAATGGGGCACTGTGTGAGCCACACAGCCATTATAGACTACACAGTCATCCATGCAGGGGTTTGTTCAGTCAGAAGGTAAAAAATGCCAGCTCTGGGGACACTGAGATGCACAGTACCCTGGAGGACAAAAGCCAGAGAAAGCCTGTGTGACAGCCATGGGCAGTGTTAGAGCCAGTGTGCAAAGCATAGCTTGGCACTGTAGGAGGAACAGGAGTTCCACGGGTCACAAGGAAGGAGATGGCTATGAGGGCAGAGGCCTTTGGCCTTCTCAGGGTCTTCTGTAGGAGGCTGCCGGGCTGAGGCAGAGGTGAGAAGCAGCCAGCCTGGGATCCAGAGGCTGTTGCCTTGCATTTCTTTTGTACATGTGACTGTCAGAGTATAGTTTGCCCAACGGCAAAACCAGTGGTTTACACAAGCCTTTCCTAGCTGCAGCCCATTTTCTTCCTGTTAAGAGCCCTTGGGACATCAGAAGAGACAGGGGTGTATTCCCTGTTCACAATTGAGAAAGCCAAGGCTGAGGGGACATGAACGGCACATGGTTGCCAACAGGGACTGTTAGGGCTGGCACAAGGTCCCAGCCCACCCAGGCCCAGCTGCCTGATTTCTGCAAAATAACAAGCGTTGGTCCACAGAACACTTCCGGCAGAATCAATAGCCTTGGGTGCTGATGGAGGAAACGCAGGTCTTGTTGACTCTCCCTGCTTGCTGCTCCAGGAAGAGGGAGGAACTGCAAGCTGCCTGCCATGCCATCCTGACTCAGGTTTGCCAGTGACAGCCAAGGCTGCAGGCACTGGCAGCGGGGGGCTCCAATGCACTGCATTCCCCTAGATGGAGCATTTTTCTTGTCTTTGGGCCTGTGCCCACCTCTTCTGCTGTTGATGGTCAATATACATGTGTGTCTCCGAAAGGGACGGCGCAGCCTCTCTGAGCTACCGACTTCTCGATGGCCCCGAGAAGGCTTCCGTGGTGCATGTGGACCAGAAGGGCTTCCTGGCGGCGGGCTCTGCCATTGGGACGTCCACATTGGAGGTGGTTGCCCAGGAGCCTTTTGGGACCAACCAGACCGTCATTGTTGCTGTAAAGGTGGGATCCAATGGGTGCCTTCTCAGGTGCCAGTGTGACCATATTTACCTCTAGCTGTGAAATTAGAGCTGGGAATTTATTTAAGAATCAGGGAAGGGCCAAACTCAGAACAGAGTGCCTGGGTTTCATACCTGCCTTTGGCTTCTGCCTCTAGCTTCCTGCTCATATGGACTCTGGGAGGCAGGGGGATGGCACAGGTGATGGGTTCCTGCCACTTAGATGGGTGTCTAAGGTTGAGTTGCTGGCTCTAGCCCCAGGCAGTGCAGGCATCTGGGGAGCCAGGACCAGGCAGAACCAGAGCATTTGTAGCCTGGGGGCGGAGGGGGGCACAGGGTGGTACTTGTGCAATGGGAAAAATCATCTCATTTTTCCAAAGTTATCAACTTTGAGTGATATTGGCCCTCTGTGGGAGGTAGGATCCTTGTCCTTGTGTCAGGACATCTCAGGAAGTGTCCCTCCTAGAACTTTTGGAACAGATATCTTCTCTTCAAGAGGCAGGTCTGTGGAAAGCTCTTTCCCCAGCTCAAGATGTCACCTTATCTGCCCTTGGTTCCCCAGGTGTCTCCTGTGTCTTACCTGCGCATTTCCATGAGCCCTGCCCTGCACACCCAGAACAAGGAGGCCCTAGCGGCCCTGCCTTTGGGAATGACTGTGACCTTCACTGTCCACTTTCATGACAACTCTGGTGACGTCTTCCACGCTCATAATTCCATTCTCAACTTTGCCACCAACAGGTAGGCTGTGAATGCTGCTCCTGTTTCAGTGACAAGACCTGGCACAGGTGCCACGTCTTGACACAGAGGCAGATGCCATGGCTTAAGGTTGTTGGTTCTGTGTTGTTTCCAGGAGAGGGATGTGCCATGCCCCATGGGGGCACATGGAGAAGCACCAGGGCTAAGGGGGGGTTGAGGGGGGACAGTATGCATCAGGGCAGGAGCACGGAGGCCTGGGTTACTCTCATGATTTTCTTACACCCGTGATGGGTGGACTGTGGGGGAGACAGGGAGGGATATTTGTGTCTGTGGGTCCTGCCTTGTCATCAGTGGATTTGAACCGTCAAGCACTTCTGAAAGTTGTAAAAGTGGGCTTAGCAGAGTCTCTGCTTTGCTCAGGCTTCAGCCTGGAAGGGGTACAACTCCACACGTGTGAATACGCACTGGCTTCTCATTGCTACCCAACTGTACAGGGCCAGAGAGGGCAAGCCATGTGCCAAAGGCCACACAGCAAGATGTGAGGTTTGCATGCCTGATCGCATCCCAGCTCCTAGGGCAGCTCTTACAGGCTGGCTCCTGGGAGAACCAAGGGCAGCCTCAGGTCTGCTGTGAAGGGAAAGTGGTGATGACAGCCATAGCCTCAGCCTGGCCTGCCAACGTCTGAGTCCAGGGAGCAGCGACCGGAGCTGCTGGAGTGATGATATCCCCTGGGCGGGGGTCTTAGAAATGCACATTCCATAAAGCCCATAGAGAGGGCCCCTGCCTAGGTCACAATACACCCCACCTCCAAGGAGGACCCCCAAGTGACAGTCCCAGAAGGAGGAGTTGAGCATAACATAGGCTGTAGGGACTGCTCCTGAATACCTCATAGTGAGCAGGTGTTGTTGACCATTCCAGCCTGCACATGGCCAAGGGCAGGATAGGAGGGATATCACATGGTGGGAACTAGCATCAGGCCTCATTCTAGCCCAGGCTCTGCTCTTAGGGGAATTTGTCGTCATAGGTAAGGCAGGTAAGCTTCCTGAGCCTTTACATCACACCTGTCACATGTGGCATGTGGTATGGGGACCTTTGGTAGCCTTAGTCTCCTAGGACAGGGTCACCCTGGAGGAGATGGAGCTGGCCCTCCTGCCCTTGGCCTCCTGCACATAGGTAGGAGTCCAAGTGGGCTGTGTCTGAGCCTGGAGTCTGAAGCGCGGCCCCATAGAGGACTCTGACTGCCCTGAGGACTGAGGATCCCGGTTTGTTTGTCTCCTGTGCCAGGGATGACTTTGTGCAAATTGGAAAGGGTGCCACCAACAACACCTGCATCATCCGCACAGTCAGCGTGGGCCTGACGCTGCTCAGTGTGTGGGACTCTGAGCAGCCCGGCCTCTCTGACTTTGTGCCACTGCCTGTTCTGCAAGCCATCTCTCCCGAGCTGCCCGGAGGCGTGGTGGTTGGGGATGTCCTCTGCCTCTCCACCGTTCTCACCAGCCTCGAAGGTAAGTGGGACCTGAGGTAGAGTATGGGACCTTGGCTGGGAGGATCAGGACAAGTGCCTGGGGACTGCTCCTTGCCAGCAAGGTTGCACCACCCCCACCCTAATCTGAGGCTCCTTCTACCTGGCATTTGCAGCTCTTATTAAGGCCCAGGCACACCACTCCTCCGTGTCTTGTTATTGGCTGCTTTGCCCTGCAGAGACCAGGTTGAGATGTGGCCACAGAGATCACTTGGACTGTGTGGTTCCCATGCCATGACCCCATGACTGCTTACAGAGCAGCTCTCATCTCCTCTGCTGTACTTCAGCACCAGCTCAGAAAACACCCACTCTATGGAGCTGCCCTGCATTGTCACCATGGTCAAGCAGTGGCCTCCAGTGTGTGGCTAATGCGATTTGAGAACCAAATTGATTATTTTAATGAGTTCAGTGGCCAGAGCCACCATAAAGGACAACATCACTGCGGGAAACTTAAGCCGGAGCTAGACACCAAGCCATCCATTGCTCCCCGAACGTCAGCTGCTGGCAAACCGCCTGACTGTCTACTCCATGCACAATTATTTTGTTAGAGTTTTTAAAAATTAGCTCCTTTTTTAAAAAAAAAAACTCATTAAATTCATTTTAAAAGAAAATTAAACACTACCTTTACAGAGAAATGAATGTAATCTGCCATAAATAGAAGGTGGTTATTGTTGAGTTCTTTTATGGTATTTTTGGTATAATGAGATTGACTTTGAACTCGGGAATGTTGTCTAGCGACAGCTCCAAGCTTGAAACGTTTTCTGCTTGCTAAAAATGGATTACTGACATGCAGAGGGTGGGGGATGGGTGGAGGCGGGTGGGCCTGCAGGGGGTTGGGCCTGTGGTCAGAGGTTGGTAAACTTCACTCAAGGATGATGGAGAAAGACAGAGAGGTGTGGACACAGGGGAAAGGGATGGGAGTTGAGAGCCAGTTCTAGGCCACAGGCAGGCTGAGAGCAGGTGCAGTAAAGAAGCAGCAGGTGGCCACAGTGGTGGGAGTGTGTGCAGAGCCCAGCTGCAGAACAGGCATCGAGCCCGGGCAGTGGGAGGTGGGTGAAATGGTCTGTGGCTGAGTGTCTCGACGTGGGTGAGATAGTGACACCTGGCCCCCTTTCCCAGGCCTTTCAGGAACCTGGAGCTCTTCAGCCAGCAGCAGCCTTGATGTTGACTCCAGGACCGGTGTGGCTGTGGCCCGGGATGTGGGCACTGTGACAGTTTACTACGAGGTGGCCGGCTACCTGAGGACCTACAAGGAGGTGGGGCTTCTGGCAGGAGTGGCTGCACTGTTAGGGAGCTCCTTGACTTGCTCCTCTGCTTCCTGTACTCCCAGTGGCCCTTGGTGTCCTGGGGGTGGGCGACTGGGCGTTGCAGACCTTCAGGATATCACTTGCCTTTGATCTGTGTGCCCTGGCTGTCCATATGCCATATGCTGTATGCCACCGGAAATGATGCCACCTCAAGGGAGGGAGCTGTTAGGTGTGTTCTTCAGGGAACAACAACAAGGGGCAGCATCTGTACAAACTTAGGGCGAACACAACTGTGGGTTTTTTAAAATAGCATTTTGACAGTTGATTGAACCTGTAACTTACAACTCCCTTTTCCATAAGGATAGAGCCACCCGCAGCTGCCTGTGGCAGCTCTGGCCAGCCACACCCTGGCTCTGGGTTGGGACTGGTTCCCTCTGCTTGTGGACCTCTGCCTCCCAGGTTAAAACTCGATGTGACAGTGTCAGGTGGCCTATTCAGCTCCCCTGCCCTCAGGCCAAGCAGCTAAGCCTGGCTATAGTTGCTGGCATAGCTGGAGCAACTCAGTGATGGGCTCCTTGTGCATAGCCAAACTTCCCTACAAGTCACCTTCTGAGTCTTTCTGAAAGTGAACGAGACCTGTCTCCCTTCTCTCTGTCTCCAACCAAGAGTGGTGGTCCAAATAGGCCTCTTCCCCAGAGGCAGCTTGAGCTGTGCAGGATCAGTTGGGATAACCCAACAGTTTGTTTATTGAGTGCTGTAGCTGTGTGGGGAGTTGTGGTGGCTCTGGAAATCCGATGCAAATCAAGGCCTCCAGTAACGAAAAACAGCCAGAGTGGCCTGGAGAAGGTGCCTTGGGCCATGGCATGTGGGGTTCAAGAGCAGAGCCCTGCAGGGAGGACTCAGACTTAGGGGGCATGGGAGTCTGGTTTTCTGATTAGATCCTGAGATATAATGAGCTCACTTGAGTGGTTAAGAGCATGGCTTTAGAGCCAGGCTGTCTGGATTCTAGTCCCTCCTTGGCCACTGGGAGGCTGTTAGACCTTGGGCAGGCTGTTTCACTTCTGTGCCTTGATTCTCCTGCCTATGGAATGTGGTTGCTGTTTTGAAGGTGAAGAGTGAGACATTTGATTTGGTGCCTCAGTTTTGTCACCTATGAAATGGATACTGCTTGTGCCATAGGCTACAAGGTGAAGTCACAAAATCACCCAGCATGGCACACACAGTAAATGCTTAATGATACCCCTTCTCCTCCAACCTAGATTGTCATTGGGGTCCCTCAAAAGATCGTGGCCCATCGTGTGCACCCCATCCAGACTGACTTCCAGGAGGTCACGGCCTCCAGAGTGACCATCACCGTGGGAGACAGAAGCTCTAACCTAAGAGGTGCAGTGAGCACATGTGGGTGGTCTGTGCCAGCCTGGGTTGATTTTGTCATTTGCACTCGTACTAACCATGGGGGGAGCCTATAACCTACACCCACCTGCTGCTTGCAGTTCTAGATAGTCTTTTCCTCCCTGAGCCAGGCTGGTAGAAGGAACCTCATGAAAGGGCCCAGAGGCAACTTCTGGAGTTGGAAATTTCAGTTGCCGGCCACTGTGCACTGTGTGCCACCATTAATGGTAAAAGCTACCAACCAAGCAGGGCCAACTGCCTGTTTTGCCTTGTATAATAACCTCTCTCAAGTCATGCACAGAACATTCAGCCTCCTTCCTTGCCTGTCACAACCCCAGAGAGCAGCTGCAAAAATAAATACATCGATATGGGGCTGGTTCTCAGAACCATTTACTAGGGGGAATGAAACACCAGCACTTCTGTTCTGACGAGCAGGACAAACTCATTACAACAGGGTCACATGCTTTTCCCACCTGGGCCCTGTTACTGCCCAAACCATGCTCAGAGTGTCAGAGGACAGAGGTGACCCTCCCAATACCCGGAAATAAATTGCCCATTTTCCCTGCTGATAGGAGCTAAAGATTCACATTAGTGGGCCTGGCACATGAGCCATGTCCCTGGATGCAAGCTCTAGAACAAATGCAGAAATTATCCATGATTCAGTGACCTTTCCTCACCCCATATCATTGTCACATCATTCTCTGAGTGACAGCACTGTCACCCAGCTGTGGGCAGGTGCTGTGGGGTGCAGATGTGCTCCCTGGGGCCTCAGGGCACCTCATCACACCCTTCTCCCCCACTCTCCCTCTCCAGGTCCATGCTCCCCTGCACAGCTGGATGTCATTGAGACCTTGCATCCTGAGTCGCTCATCAGCTGTCAGCTGCGCTTCAAGCAGGATGTCTTCGATTTCCCAGCCCGTGACATTTTCACTGCAGAGCCGGGTTTTGACACTACTCTGGGTAAAGCTGCAAGGGTCTGGAAGCCAAAGCGGCCCAGCAGAGTCTTTGCATTTGGACAGGCCTTGGGTCTTCTGTTCGTTTCATTCATGCTGGCTGTGCATCTGTCCAGAGGCCAGAGGTCATTGGGAGCCCTGCCTGGGGATGAAAGCTAGGGCCTTGGGTTTTGTGGCTCTGTGCCCCCAGGAAAGGCTAGTGTGCCCAGGCAGAGTCCCATTTGTCCCCTCCTCACCACCGTATCCAGCAGAGAAGGTGCAGAGTTCAGAGTGGAGAACCCCGGATGGGAGTCCTCTGCTGCTGCTCCTCCTCTGTCTTGCCCTCTGTGAAATGGAGATGGTACAGGACGAGGGAGACAGATGGAGAGGTTCTTTGCTGTGCAGTGTGTTTGAACATGGCTGCTGTCTAGCCTAGAAGCCAAGACAGCAGAGCTAAAGGCCAGTACCATGGCTAACTCACCTAGGGGAGCCTTGCAGGTGCGGTCATGGTAGGAACTGTAGCCCTGGCATCCCACATCCAAGTTCGCAAAGCCCTAGGGAAACTTGAGTGGGACAGTCCATGCTACATGGACCACTGTGGGATCTGGGACTGCGTCTAAGAGTCAGCCATGGCTAGACTTGTGACCCAGTATCCATTTGAGAAGCAAGACAGAGGGGCACAATGGGCGGCAGAGGGGACAAGGTGGAACTTCTTATCTTCACAGGCCAGTACCTGTGCTCCGTCAGCATGCACAGGCTGACGGACAAGCAGCAGAGACACCTGAGCTTGAAGAAGACAGCCCTGGTGGTCACTGCCTCCCTCCCTGGCAGCCACTTCTCCACAGAGCAGGTCGGGGCTGAGGTACCCTTCAGCCCGGGGTTGTATGCTGACCAGGCTGAAATCTTCTTGAGCAACCAGTACACTAGCTCTGAAGTCAGGGTCTTCGGTGCTGTGGAGGTCCTGGAGAGCCTGGAGGTGAGCGTCATTCAGCCTGTGAGGGCAGCACGTTGGGCAGATTGTGCTCACTCCATCTGCTGCTGGGCAGTGACCACACAGTGACAAAGGGGGAGGGACAAAGACCTCACCTCTACTGGAAACAAGTGCCGTCCCCTCCAGCCCCTGCTCCAGGCCCCATCCACGCCGTCTGTTGGTCGTTGTGTAAGGGGCTGGTGTCAGGCCAGGCTAGGGAGAGAGCTGGTGTAAAAGGATAAAGGCTTTTGTGCCTGTGCCTCACCTTGTCTTGCTCACCATCCCGAGAGAGAGCAGTTTAGTGCTGCCGACAGAGTTCTCCTGGGCCAGGAGGGGGCTGCTGGAGATGAGCCTATGACAGAGGGACACCAGTGTCTGATGCCTGGCGTTGCTTTAGCATTTTTTGATGAATAGCCTTTGATTAGAGTCCAGTGATCCCAAGTTGCCCTTTCCTTGAGAAACACCCTGACCCCCATAGGTACTGCCTTCTGACGTGCAAACTGCACGTTGTCCTCAAGATGTAACCCCCGCGTCATCACTTACTGAGCAGATGCGCCTAGGCAGACCCCCACACCGTGCCCTATAGGTCCTGGGAGGGAAGCCCAGTGTGTGCAGCTGATGAGGGTGCATCCACAGATGGGCTGGACACAGCTGCTGTCCTGCCTGTCAGTCCCGAGCCCCATTGGGCTCCGTAACTCTGGCACATGGTCCCTCCAAACCTGACCCCTCTTCCAGGTGAAATCCGGGTCCCCAGCTGTGCTGGCCTTTGCCAAGGAGAAGTCTTTTGGGCTGCCCAGCTTCATCACATACACAGTTGGCGTCTCAGACCCCACGGCCGGCAGCCAGGGCCCTCTGTCAACTGCCTTGACCTTCTCTAGCCCAGCCACCAGCCAGGCTGTCACCATCCCAGTCACTGTGGCTTATGTGATGGATCGTCGCGGCCCTGGTCCTTGTGAGTCAGAAGGCGGGACATCTGGTGGCACAATCCTGGTGGGGAAGGGTTGAGCTGGAGCCATCTTGGGTGTGTTGGAGGGATCATGAAGGAGTGCAGAATGTCCCTCAAAGTGACAGGTACTTACAGGCATGCGCATAGGCATGTGGGGCCTGGGGCACCCAGTTGATGAGCCAGGGATCCTGGCCTGACCTGGGCTTATGGGGACACATCTTTCCCTTTGATGGCAGATGGGGCCAGCCTCTTTCAGCACTTTCTGGATTCCTACCAAGTCATGTTCTTCACGCTCTTCGCCCTGCTGGCTGGGACAGCTGTCATGATCATAGGTGAGGCAGGCACCAAGGTCTCAGGGTGGAGTTAAGTGAGGGTGCCTGGCCCCCCTGCACTGACAGCTGTGTGCTCTTGCAGCCTACCACTCTGTCTGTGCACCCCGGGAGCTCGCCATGTCATCAGCCCTCACACCCCGCACCAGCCCACAGCACAGCCCTCACTGTAAGTAGCCCCTCACCCCCTGCAGAGACCCCCAAGCAGAGTAGCTGTTCACCTGAGTGGGCAAGTCCCTGGACTTGGGTAGAGGGACACCAGGGGCAGAGCCAGGCCACACTGTATGTGTTGGGCAGGCTGGCAGCAGGCAGCTCCGTGCAGACTGCCTGTAGGTACTGAATGCCTACTGTAGGACCCTGCAGAGAGCTCCATACCAGGTAGGACCAGCTGTCTCAGAAGTGGGAGACCAGGTAATCCTGGTCCCCAGGGCTGCCCTCTGCAGCCCAGCTATTTCTCAGAGGGGTCCCAGGCCTGGTGACCCTGCCCAAGTCCAGGGGACACCTCTCTCCACAAATTGTGTCCCTCAAACTGCTCAGTGCCCAGCTGAGATGACTGTATTGGGCAGTCCTGGATGTCACTGAGCCCCCTCCCTGGACGTGTGCATGCACCCTCTCCCTCCCCAATGCCAGGGTCCTCAAGGGGTCCATGGCATCATTTTACTGATGTGAATATTTTCCTGGCCAGCTGGATCCCAGATCAGCCCCTCCTGTGGCCCCTGCCTGCCTCCCTGCACCCATGAAACAGAGCCCGGGGAATGCTGCAGAAGGTTCCTGGGCTCACTTCTCTGCTGGCTCTGACAGCTGTGCCCTGTGTGGAGCCACACCAGGGACTTTGCACTGACAGCTAGAGTCTATTTGTGCAGACTCCACCCTCCCTCCCTCCTGGGTCCTTCAACTGACAGCTTGTTCTACACAGCCAGACCTCATACCCGGAAGCTCAAGGGTCATCCCCTTGGCCTATCTCATGGCCAGCCATTGTCCCTCATGTATTGGGCATGCTTGGGAAGCCCCCCTGTGGATGGATCTTCCTTCCTCTGCTGGCCACTAAGCTTTGGGCCAGTGCTAGCAAGTGCTGGGGTGGACTGCTGGTAGTTCACCTACACTCGCCTTGGCTGGGACCCCACCATGTGTCTGAGAAGCACCTTCCTGTCACTCATTTCCTTTCTGGAAATTCCCTCCCTAGATCTTGCTACACCATCATCGATGACCTCTGTCACCTCGCTGCCTCCTGGTCGCAAAGCCAGCCCTCCCTCGGGGCTCTGGAGCCCAGCCTATGCCTCTCACTAGCCAATGCCCAGGGGCTGCACACAGACAGCCCCAAGGCCAGGGACACCGCTGCCACAGATTGAGCCCCTGGAAACCCTAGTCCTAGTCCTGATAGCTGCCCATGTGTTGGTGGAGCTGGTAGTTAGGTTGTGCTCATGAGCTTAGATGTAGGGGCCTAAACATGATTGATTTCCATGCTACCCCCCCGCCCCGGCCGGCTGCACTGTGCATGGCCGAGCGGGATTTCTGGATGCCGTGCAGTCCTAGTGCTGCTTTCCTAGCGGCAGTGAAGCGCTAATCAAAAGCCGCATGTTTATATCTTATGTCACCTCTGGGTGACGCTTCTGTTGTGCTCTCAGGGAAAGGATTTTCTAGTTAGTTTAGGAGCTTTTTATATTGCTTTCCCTCACAAAACCTCTCTTTAGGCTGCTATGGCTCTTGGGACAGGGTAGAGAGGGCAGACTCCTGGAATATCTCCATTGCCCCCACTGCACGGGAAGAAGCCTCAGGAACTCGGCACCACGAAGTCCCTCCACACTTAGCCCCAGAGCAGCAGTCAAGTCCTACGGGCTGCCCTGGCTTTGGGCTACAGCCAAGAAGACCATCTTCCATGTTTATCTCATAAACGTCTGGTGTCCTGAGTGGGAGCCCTATACTGTGCCTGGCCTGGTCTCCGTCACCAGTTTCTCATCCATAAGAAGTGTCCTGGGCTGGCAGTAGGGGTCTTCTTTCTGCCTCGAGCCCTCCCGGTCTCACCCTGTGCCCGTGTGCTCTCAGAACCAGTGTTCCTCCCCGGTTTCTGTGCCCCCGCAGTTCTGAGCCACTCCCCAGCCCACAGGGCCCTAGGCAGCTAAGCAGGGAGGACAGCAGGGGCCTGCCCTCCCAGCAGGTTAATTCCTCTCCCCAGTGCCCTGTCCAGGATCTGAGCCCCTTGGACTGCGCAGTCTGCTCATCTGAGCCAGGTTGGGTTGCCCTCGGGGACCTCTCAGGGTCCCATGGCCCAAGCCCACCACGTCTGCACACCACGCTCTCAGAGAGACCATGGTCAGGGTTCAGTGCGAGTTCGCTTCTGTTCTTGGGCTGGGCCATGGCTCCTGGTGAAGCTGGAGAGGGAAAACTTGTGCCTTGCCTGTTACTTGAGCTCACACTGACACCCTGGATGTAGGAGGAGCTTTTCTACCTGGTTGTTTAATAAAGCTCCGTGTCTTTTCTTAAGAGGGGTGTGGTCATTGCTGGGATTTCCTGTGTCCTTAGGGGCATGGCTTCTGCCTTGCTGAGCACCCAAGCCTTCCATGGCTCTCTCCCACCACAGCCGGTCCAGCTAGCCTGGGAGATACCCAAGGATGAGGAGAGACCCTGCCCGTGTGACACCCTGGCCACCTCCTTCCTCCTGTGCCCTCTGACTGAGACCTCCCCACTCTCTCTCAAGTCCATGGTTGTTGAGCTGGCTCTTCCCTTCCCACCCCCAGCTGCTCCCCTAGGACCCTGAGGCCCCCTTTTTGTTCTCTGCCTTTCATCTTGGGAGTGTTGTACCGAGAGTGGGTACCGAGGGCATGGGTAACTGTGCCAGCCTGGCCAATCTGTGGGGAGGGTAGCCATGCGTCTGTCCCAAGTTGTCTCATGTCGATTCCCTCTTCTGCCTGGAGGCATCTGAAGCCTGGCTCAGCCTGGGCAGGGAGCAGCTGGGCATGGGGCAGTTTTCACAGGTGTTCCCCAGGCTCCTGCTGCTGGAGGCTGGCTGGTGTCTGCAGTGTGAGCACAGAAGTGGCCGGGTCCTGCCCAACCCATGCAGGTCCCCTTCCCCTACCCTCATATCCAGCCTCCATGTCCCTGTAGTCCATCTAATGGTCTCCCTGGGACCCCCTTGTTGGCCCAGGCAGCCTCACCTCCTATCCCCTGACGATCTCCCTGGCCTTGGCTTTTTCTGTTCACAGACCTGTCTTCCCCAGCCAGAGTGCCACCTTCCCCACAGGCTCTACTCTGCTTAGGCTCCTCCTCCAACACACACATATCCGGAAAGACCTAGAACATTTTCAGTAGAAGTCACATGCTCAACATAGGGCCTGCTGTCCCAGAGACTGGATTGTCATTTGCAAGGCCCTCTCAGGAACACAAGGTGGCTGCCACAATCCAGGCATCATATCATGTCCAGGTGTGGCAGTGCCTGGAGAGGAGCAGCGAGACAAACTCTTCCTGTCTCCTTTTATGGACCAAAGATAGCTTTCTAGAAGGTTCCTGTGTAGACAGCTCCATCCCATCCTGTGACGGGTGCCATGCCTGGTGGGAGTAGTAGAGAGGTCACACTCAGGGCACAGAAATCTTTGGGGATCCACTGGATGTCATGACATCAGTCACCTCAGAAAGCAGAAGGATCTCTTTTTTTCAGTGTCCCTCTGCTGCCAGCCTTGCACATTGGTCACAGGAGGAGGAAAGACAGCTACAAGGGACCTGGACAAATGTGCCCATCCTAGATGTACTCACCAAGTGCCCATGACTAGAAAAAGAAATAAGGTGTGCCTTAGACCTCTGACCCTGGCTAAGGTTTGCTCCTGGGCAGCCTGGCCTCAGCTGAGGGACTTGCACAAAGTGGGGTGTGTATTCCCTTCTGACTGAATCCACTAAAGGTGAATCTTCTGTCACTCTTCCTCTGGGGTGGGACACAGAGGCCTGGGTGTCCTCGGGCAGGAGCCAATGAGATGTGGCTCCCTGGGGACACTATCCCATCAATGTGGGTCCTGCATCCCACCACTGCCTCACTCTCAGTTGTGTCCATCTTGGGCACGCCACACAAGGAAAGAGGTTTGCAGGAGGGTTTGTTGAGTGAATACATGGACAAGTGCCCATGAAGGATCCATGGTTGTGAGGTTGCCCGAACTGTGGGTTCACAGTTTTCTGGAACACATCAAGTTTCACACAGGCAAGGGAGCTGAAACCCTGAGCCCATTACGTCCCTGTGCCCCTGGTGCCGGGCAGTCAAAACAGCCTCTGTGCCTGTATTTTACCCATGATTACTTGCCAGGGAGCCAGTTGGGCTGCTGGGTGGTTGTGTACGACTTCGTTACGTTTTATGTTTTGTGTAATTAGCAAGTGGGATTCTGCAGAGGATTTCATTAGCATCCTCATCAGGTGACCATCTTCATTGCCTGAGACGAGCGGTTCTGTGTTGACCAACAACAAATCAAGACAATGTAGAAGACCCAAGGAGATGGAATCTGGGCCCTGTGGCTTCCCTGCTGTGGGATACAGCAGCCTAAGGATGGAGAAGCTGTGTCACCTGATGGGGGCAGGGCCAGAGCAGCCTTCTGCCAACCTGGCACTCAGGGCAGATCCAGGATCTCCTGTGTTGAGGATTCCAACGTGCTGAACAAGCAGTTGGTGCTCAGTAAGTGTGAACTTTCTTTATCCATCTATCCACCCTTTCCTCCCTCTCTTTCTACCTTTCCAAAGTAACAGAGAGGGAGAAAGAGATAACTTCCATCTGGTTCACTCCCCAAATGACTGCAGCAGCTGGGATTGGGCCAAGTCAGGCTGGAACCAGGAATTTCCTCCCGGTCTGCCACTCACTTGGCTGCTAAAACCAACCACATTGAAACATAGGGCTGGCCCAGTGCCAGTGACCTGGAGGATGTGGCTTCTCAGTCACCTGCAGCTGCCAGGCCAGGTGTGAACAGGCCCAGGGTCCTAAGGACACCACAGTCCAGCTTTGGGAATGTGCCAGCTTTCAACTGCATGAATAACGATCATCAAACCCTTTCAACTGCATAAATCAAACCCAAGATTTAGAAAAACAGCATAAGCAACCTGGGTGGGTCCTCAGATGACCCTTTTCCTGTCTCTGGACAACTTAGGTGGTAAATCCCAGGATGCATATCTCTATGCCTACCTCCTGCAGCCTGGGAAGACATCACTGATTGCTCCCAGTACTCTTTCCTGCCCAGGCAGGAAGGACTGCTTCAGAATCCTCCACAGCCCAGCATTCCAGCAGCTGCTGCCAGTTAGCTTGCACAGGTAGGAGTTAGAAACCCCTCGGTGACTCCTAGTCTACTCTGAGGCCTCACTTTAGACATGGGGAATGTGCAGCTGTAGCTCCTTGGAACAAGAGTTTGAAATTGTCAGTTCTTTGGCAGTTTGCCCAGGGTGGACGCAGAAAGACATTAACCAAGTAAGTGCAATGATTGCATTAATGATTCAGCAACCACTGGAATAGCCCAAGTTGGGAGCCAGGCACGGGGACATGGAGGCCATGATCTATGTCCAAAGGAAATGATGAGCAGCTGTGTTGAGGGCATTGGAGTAGGAGCTGTTGCTGGTGGCAGCTAAGCTGCCAGTTCTGTTCCTGAGTGTAAGAGAAAACTGCAGTGGCTCCCTCTAAACCATGTTGGTGTCTTCTGCACGCCCAGCTACTGGTCCTGGAACATCAATTTGTGCAGGTCATGTTCTGGTAGCTTCCCAAGGGGTTGGCAGGACGGGGGCCAGAGCAGAGAGGGAGGCAAACAAGATCACAAAAACTGTGGGATAGAAGTTTCTAGAGCATCACAGAAGAGACCAGTACCTTCTTAGTGGGTCAGAGCGCATTCTGGGAGGGAAGCTGAAAAACGGGCATCTGTGTAGGGGCAGGTGGAAGCCAGGGTCAGGAATGCCTTGCTTCCTAGAAGTTGGAGGGACTGGTCAGAGATGTGGACAGGCAAATCCCTTGCCCCTTGTGCTGGGCTCCCAGATTTGATGGCACAAAGTCCTGGCATGGGTTGCTAGAGGTGGCTGATGTCAGCACTCAAGCACCAGCCCTCCTGTGTCTCCTGGTCTTGACACTGTACCCATGGTAGAGCTGGGCTGGACCTGATGTTCTGAATCCAGGACCACGTAGGGTGGGAGTCAGTGAAGTTGGCATCTCCCAGGTAGGTTCAGGGCCCTAAGCATTTGGGCCGTCTTCTGCTGCTTCCCCGGTTGCATTAGCAGGGAGCTGGATTGGAAGTGGAACAGCCCAAATGGGAAACTGATGTTGCAGGTGGGGGCTTAACATGCTCTGCCATAGCATTAGCCCCCTGGCTCCTGACTTTGGTCCTGCCCCCAGGGTCGTTGGGTAGTGAGCCTCTGGTATCTCTCCTTGTGTGTCTCCCTGAATCTCTTCCTCTTCTTTCCCTTTTAAACACAATTTAGGAAACAAGAAACAGATCTGCAGGTAATTAAGAACCATCGATGGTGCCTGGGGGTGGAGTGATAGGATAAGAAAGTTGGCATCCCTTGGGCCCACAAGCAGCCCACCCCACCCCCCTGCTTTTGGTTGCCTATTTGGCAACAAGGGAGGGAGGGAGGATTGGGAGTTCAGCTCATGGGATGCCCCAGGCACTCTGAAATGCTAGAGAAAAACTCGAGTGAGATTCTTAACACCAGACCCCCAAATTCCACCTGCATCCACTTTGGTGTTCCTTCCACACTGACCCACAGCACCTCATTGCTGCCCAGTGTACCCACAGGTCTGCTGTGCCCTGTTTCTGCCAGCCCTTGGGTGTGTGTATATGCCATCTCTCCCCCACTCTGTCCTGTCCACTCTGTCCTGCCTGCCCAGCAGGAGGTCAGTGACGGGAGCCAACAAAGGCTGCTGCTTCTGAAGCGTCTCATCTTCCCCATCCTCCTTGCTTCATCTGCTCCTCCAGGTGACCCTCCCACCGGAGTCTTCAGACCACTAGAAATACAGGCATTCAGGCCCACAGCAGACTCACCCCATCAGAACCTGCCTTTTAGAAAATGCTGAATCTATCAGAAAGGGAGAGGGACAGAGAGCTCAATCCTCCATCTACTGGTTCACTTTCCAAATAGCCATAACGGGAAGGCTGAAGCCAGGAACAATGAACTCCATCCAGATTTCCCAAGTGAACAGCATTCAGGCCATCCTCCATTGCCTTCCCAGATCAGCAGGGAGCTGGAAGGGAAGCAAGGCAGCCAGGACCCATCTGGTGCTTTGATAAAGGATGCAGGTGCTACACATGGTGGTTAAACCTGTGTTTCAACACTGATCCCTAAAACCTGCTTCCTGATGGCCCCAGGTGTGCGTGTACTTTTGAAAAAAAATGTTTTAAGATTTATTTATTTTTATTGCAAAGTTAGATATATACAGAGAGGAGGAGAGACAGAGAGGAAGATCTTTCGTCTGATGGTTCACTCCCCAAGTGACTGCAATGGCTGGTGCTGCGCCAATCCGAAGCCAGGAGCCCAGA